TCCAGTGGCCTGGGGCACGCCACGTTTCGATATGCAGTCCTTCCCCTCCAGAAGGCTGGCTGACTTTATTAACACACTCACTGCCTGACCACCCCTTCTCCTCTCGTGTCGTGGGTGCTGCCGTTGAATCGCTTTCCTTCCTTTCGCCTTTTTCTTTGTCAGTGTCTCATCACGGGAAGACCCTGGTGACCCCGCCTGCCTTCCCAGGCGCTTCCTCACTGCCGGGTTTTATACCAAGCCACGCTAAGCCTGCCTCGAGATGCACGCAAGCACACATGCGCATTTTCTTTTTCTCCCTCTCGCACTTATTACTCTTCTTGCAGCCCAAGGCACATCTCTGCCCGCCTAGTCTCGAACCGCATAAGCGTCGCTGTCGAAAGGGCCCATTCTTTTATCCCTCTTCTTCTTCTTTTCTTCTTTTCCTTGTTCCCAACAGAAAAGCGCACAGAGGCATGATGTGATGATGACATCGCCATGGGCTCGGCAAGGCCCAAGTCGGACACTTCACTCCCCTAGTGCCCTGATAACCTTCACAAATTACAATGGAGGGTAAAAAAAAAAAGAAGACCCCCGCCCTAGGTTTTGATTAGGTCGAAATGATCCATGTCCTGTCCCTCGTTTCCTTCCCTATCCCACCAGCAGCCCCTCTTTTGTTTCTGGAATGAATCGATGCACCGCAGGCCCAAAACATGCTAGAGCCACGGATAGATACCTCGAGTCTGCGAGAGAGATGGGCTCTGCTGCCGGGTTGAGCTGGGCTGGCCGTGGCGCGTGGTCGCCGTTGCGTTTGTCCGCCGAGGAATGAGGTTGCGCCGGAATGGGTCGCGCTCTTGGCGGCCAAAAGGCAGCTCCACTTGTGGTGACTTGCAACATGAACATCTCCGCTCCGTTCACGTTTGTCCTCGATCTCCTCCCGGTCGTAACCCCGCAGGCCAGCTCACACTCGACGAGTTTGGGCCCGAGCCTTGGGCCTTTTCCAATATTCTCGTTTTCTCTTCCCTTTTGTGCGTGTGTGCGTGTGTGCGTGTGTCGCTAGGATATGCCTTTTTCTCTCTTCGTGTCCATCCTCTGCTCATTCTTGTCAGACCGCGTATCACCCGTACTAAAGATTGGTGCTACCCGTGAGAGTCTTTATCGATTAGGCCCCCAGGAAGATTTATTTTTATCGATACGGTGTTTCGGATGTAGGCAAGGAACGACACGAGATGGTGTCCACCCTTTTCGCCATGTTTATCCCCATTCGACATGGGCCTTTTTCAGTCCTGTGCCCCTCTCTTACTTTGGGTTGTTATTGTTGGCCGGCTTTCTCGTGGCCGCCCCTCCCCCACCATCCATCACCACTCCCCAAGTCCACCACGTCGGAACAGCCACCCACGCTCAACATCAAATCGACGATTTGCATGTTTTTCCAGCTTATCCCACCCACCGCCTTATTCCTCACCTTGCGGGGATATCCTGTTTCTCGTCTTCCCTTTTCTCGACACGCCCCTCCATCCCCGTTCCCACGATAGTCCGCTCTTTTAAAAATGTCAATCTTGCAAAAGATACTTGACAGAAATGTACCGGCTTCACTGCCTGCACGTCTACTTCGTACCTCGCCCATCATCAATCTTGGGCGGTCTGCACGGTTGTTGAGATCTGATCTTGATGACATCCGTCCTGCCCGCCCTCCCTCCTTCGAACGAACACCGTCACTTATACCCCACCCCTTCGCTCTCCACACCCTCTTGTCTCTTACCCATTGTCCTTTGGCGAGCACCGCCTTTGCCATCCTGAGGTGGGGGCCCCCTCGCACACCGAGAAGCCGCCGTGTCTGGTGAGGGCTGGCACGTTGCATCTTGGTTGAGCCTTTCCGTGGGCTTGGTGCGCCTTCCTTGGCTCCTCGGGTGCGGGAGGAAGAATCCAAGAACAGGGACCAAGTCCTCCGAGATGCCTTGCCCGAGGATGTGGTACCCCCGCTGTGATTGGTTTCCTTGTCTCTTGTTCTTATTTTTGTGGCATATCATTTGCATTCCATTCAGCCATCCATCTATCCCCCTCCCGTATATCCATGCTGGCACTGCCTGGGCTGGCCGCTAAGGCTGCGTAATCTGCTACTTTCAACGTTCTATTTCTTGTCTTGTTTGACAACGCAGCCTCCCCTCCCCATTATACATGGCCTTTTGAAGTTCAGCTGACCGCATTTGCACTTCTGCCTATCTTATCGCTCATTTCGAGGATGGATTGCGATATAGCCGCCTTGCCCTTTTCCCCACTGTTCAATGTGATTGTCTTTGCCAAGTGACAACCATGTCTAGTTTGTATCGATGCCTTTGCCTCTTTGTTCTTTCGCTTTGTGATACCTAGTAATGACCCCACCCCCGACGATCAGGAAATACAACCGCCATCGCTCAATCCTTCCACCCATGCCGTGGCTGGGTATGACCTGATGTGAATGGATGGCTTTGGCCCGATTACCAACCTTAGTTACCATCATGCTTCTTATCAGCGTCTGGCCGGTCTCCGCCTTCGACAGGCATCCGGCGAGGATAGTATCATTTGCTCCTGATATTGGTATCTTCCTTCCTCTAGTCCATCAACCTCTCCCATCCCCCATCGTGCGCCTTCTCCCAAGAGGGTACTTTGGATTGCCTCATTAATATTTTTCTCTTCTTGTCGTTTTCCTCAGCGGGAGGCGCCAACACATTTACCGGTCATGAGCTCGCCCTCGTGATCTAGAATATATTATATAGGCTTAGGGACCTTACGAATGGTATGAATGGTTTTGGTAAACCTGTAATGACGTGTAAACTTTTCGTATCTCGACATCCTCCCGCCCCCCTCTAAATTCACCTGGTATCCCTCCCCTCCGGCAGTCTCGGTCCCGACTACGCTCGCGTGATTCATACCCACGGTGAATGCTCGCCCACCGCTTCCAGGCTGGCCCATGCCCCCACAAGGATAGACAAGCCCGTTTTGTTTCAGACTGCCTAGTCTACCGTCATTTTCTGGCCTCCGCCCCCGGGCGCCGGGAGTGGGGAGGGTCCAGCCAGCTGGATGGCGCGGGGCAAACAGCGCCTTCAATGCTGAGTGGCTGTCTCAAGAGCTAAAGAAAGCAAGGCTCAACGTCGGGCCTTGACAGAGATTCGTCAGCATATCATGCCATTCCGCAACGGTGATGGCGAGTCTCTGTCAGAGGCGTGGATGATCTTTTTGGGGGATTTCCAGGTATCTGGGGAGAGGGAGGGCGGAGAGCCGAGAAGCCCGGGCATCGATCATCCCTCCTTGCATGGGTGGCCTTGTCACCCCTTGCTTATCCGTCCACGATCGAAATAGCATTGGATGCTTTCACGCCGATCACGTCGACCCATGGGCGCTCCAGCCGGTTTTCCTCGCTCTTAGTCCCCGACCGGAGCAGGTTCTCCAGATTTTTAGAATACATCCTATCTATATCCAGGGTATCAAGAGAACACTGAAATAAAGTGGTAACGTGAGGATGGCAAGATGAGCAGCACAAGGGCCGAGGAAAGCACAGGGTGGGGAAAGCTTTTTGCAATAAACGGGCACCAGAGCGGAAGAAATCCATGCACGTTGGTCCCAACTTGGTATGAATCTGGACTGCCCCACGTGCCCATCGCAATAGATTAGCCCAGGCGCTTTCTGACTCCGCGGTGTTGCTTCATCTAGATGCGGGCCTCTCATCATCGACATCTTCATTGATATTTTACGTTGGCAAGTTAGAATATCGCGCGCTCATTACACCTGTTAATATGGGAATTTCCCTACTCCTTCATATTGCACCCGTTGTTCGCGGGACCAACTCTTTTTCTTTCTACTTGGTCTATAATATCGAGTGTATCAACTTGTGCTGCCGACTCTTCCTTTCTTCCTTCCTCAAGGATCTGGGCAAACCCCGCATTGTATGACATCATAAAGCGCGCCGCACGATCCGCAATCACAATTTAGATCTCACCCATCACTCATGAAACGGGGCCCTCGTCAACGCTTGGCTGGAAGGAAAAAAAGGAGGAAACAACAGGATGAAATTTTGGATTCAATTAAATCTTTTTCAGTCGAATTGCCACCAGAAATTTCGGATTGGGTCTTATTCGCCCGATCAGGGCGGCGATCTCTCTTCGGCTCGAGTAGCCCTCATCGGTGGTTTCTTTTTGGGAAGGGGTGGGGTGTGCCAGTTGGAAGATTTATATCAGAGGCCTAGTGCTAGCGGTGTTTTCGCCACCCCCTGTCCCTCGAGAAACTAAGCCCTTCCTTGGGTCCAAGAGGGTGGCCAACCTTTGCCGGCCGGCGAGGAGCGGAGCAAGTTGGATGGCCCATTTGGAAAACGTGGTGCTTCTCTGATTTGGCGGTGTGTTTCTCGAAACACGCTATCCGTCGGTTTCAGTAAAGAAGTTCCCATTCTGGTTATTGGAGGGGGCAGATCCAAGTCATCTTCATTTGGAATTTTGCCACCGCCCAGGGGACCGCATCCTTGGCTTGCCTGGGTTTGTCACCTCGGATGGGCTGTGAGTGGAGCACTCAAACCGCTGTGGCAACGAGTCTACAGGAGATAATGTACCAAATGGGCACTGAAACGCGCTCGCTTCTGACGAGGAAAACCATCTTGGTCGCTACCTCGGCCAGATACCTCGTCGTATATACTCCGGCGGTGGGAGAGGGGACACGTCATGAAATGGGCCGATGCTGATCGCGCCGTTTGTTCTTTGGTGCTGATATGTCAGCGGCGCACGGATAGAGATCGGATCCTCCGGGTACTGAGCGAAGTCCTGATCGAACTGCGATAGGCCGGATCGGGGGCTCTCTCGACGACAGTACGAATATCGGGGTCGGGCACTCATCGATTGCGCAAGCAGAATACGCCATAGGGACCGATGAACCGGGCGTTCAAAGGAGGCTTTGTGGGGACACTAGGAGTTGATTGAGCGGAAAGGCCGGCAGGGCTGAAAACCTGGGAGTAGTTGATGCTCGAGATCAAGTGTTGCTTTCCGCGCAGCAAACGCACGCTACTGGACCCCTTCTGCGTCGTCGCCCATGCCGGCTGGCATTTGCGTTGAGCTAATCCAGTTCTCCATCATGGAATGGCTACCCCCTTGCTGACTGGTACTCGCGGCCGCTGGTGCGGCGCTTCTAGCGCTGCTAACCCTCGTGCCGGTTTCCCGTCTCTTGACGACGAGGCAGAGCACCATGCCGTATAGCGCGAAACCTTCGTACGAGATGTCCATGGCCATCTTCTTCTTGTCGTCCGGATCTTGGTCCCCGAGGAGGGTATTTTGTCTGGCGCGTTTAGTAGGAGGTGCCGATTCTGAATCGGACCGTATTTCTTGCACGTCGTCGCCATCATCGGCGTCGTCATCTTCGCTCCCAGTTCCGGAGGCGTCAAAGTCAGAACCAGACTCTTCCCCTCTAGCGCGATGCCTTTTCCTAGAATGCTGTAGACCGGGAGCCTGAGGTATGTTTCCGAGATCAAACGCGTCCTCATCATCTTCCTCTCTCAATGGTACGGGCTCATCGGGGGCATTGTCTATGTCTATTGCCTCCTCTCTCGTCTCACCCATGAGCTTGCTGGAGTTGGACTGGAGCCGTTTGGGAACCTTGTCCCGGAAGTGCTTATGCTTCATCAGGATAGAATGCCTCGTGGCGGTTTCCATGAGAAACATGGCAACTTCAAAATCCTCTATACCAGGGAGTTAGCGACTTGCACGTTGATGGTTGCCTATGTTCACGTAACGACGACGGGTCTACGCACCGCCGGTGATTATGTCTTTGACAGCCTTCTTTTTCGTGCCTCTTTTTAAAGCCCGTTCTCTTTCTTCTCTCAGCTTCGGGAGTACTAGGGGCTGGATTGACTGGATGATGCGGGGAAGCACTGGGTCGCGGGGATTGAGTAACCAGCTCTGTGCCAGCGCTGGGTTATCGAGGTAAATGCGGCATTCTAGCACCGAGTACTTCGTGATGCGCAAATACCTGCGTATTGGAGGCATTCTTATAATACCTAGCGTGCTGAGGTGGTATCTATTTTTTCTTATTTTTAAAGATTAAAGAAAGGAATAATTTGGAAAGATGTGCGGGAGCAGAGCTGCTGTCGTTGATGACGCCGTGAACTGAACGATCCCGGTCATGGTTGGTTGGAGCTTTTGGGCGTAGCCTTGCTGTGGCGGCCTCTAAATTTAGAGCGATCCAAAAGTCTAGACGCGTGGTGGGACCACTCTCGCGACAGCCTCGTTCCAGCCAACCAAAATTTTCCCACGTTAAACCCCACGACCTCCCCTTTCGATACCACCGGCCTCCTTAGGGATAACCACGTACGATGAGACCGCGGTAACATGTCAAAATCATGGTCATCGACGCTTAGGCTTCCCAAATCCACCTTTCCGTGTGTCCTCCCCGTGATACGTCAATCGCGACTCTGCAGCTAGCTAACTCGAGCTTCCATCACAGCCCTCGACCGCTCCCGAAGCTCCGAGACCAATATTTGAAGCGATGCGCCGACGACCTATATAAATGGCAGGCGGAGAACCGCCCCGAAGAGAAGCCTTTTGTCCTCCATGATGGCCCGCCGTATGCCAATGGCGATCTTCATGTTGGTCATGCGCTGAATAAGATACTGAAGGATATGATCTTGAGGGTGAAAGTGCAGCAGGGTATGATGGGATCCTTGCGCTTACCCCCATTATTCCAACCCGGCTGAGCTTGATTGACTGATGCTTTTGCTCACGTAGGATACCGAGTCACATACCGACCGGGATGGGATTGTCACGGCCTCCCATTGAGCTCAAGGCTCTTGGGGCCGCCGGCGCAAAGAACCTCGCGCCTAGCGAAATACGCGCCTCTGCTCGAAAGCTTGCCTCTGATACGGTACTGAAACAGATGGCGGCCTTTAGATCCTATGCCGTCATGAGCGACTGGGACCGCAGGTGGACGACGATGGACCCCGACTTTGAAATCCAGCAGCTCCGTCTCTTCCAGCGACTCGTTCGCCAAGGGTTGATCTACCGAAAACATAAGCCCGTTTACTGGTCGCCATCTTCTGGGACTGCATTGGCGGAGGCGGAACTGGAATACAATGAAAACCACGTCTCGTGGTCCGCCTATGTAAAGTTTCCTATCGTGGGAGACTGGGCGTCTGTGCTGGGGATGGCTGATTTCCCCGGGCGCCTCTATGCTGTTGTTTGGACGACAACTCCTTGGACATTACCCTCCAACCGGGCGATTGCCGTCCATGATGATCTTGAGTACTCTATTGTGGAGCATGGTCAGGATGCGCTTATCATCGCGAATAGCCGACTAGAGGCTGTGCAGTCTTGGTCTGGCGGGCCTCTCCGCGTTTTGGCCTCTTCGGTCAAAGGCTCTATAATCAGGAAACTTCATTATTCCAATCGCCTCCGAGGTCGCGCTGCCAAGCCGTCCCCCATATTGCATGCGGACTTCGTGTCTGCTACTTCCGGTACTGGGCTGGTTCATATGGCCCCCGCTCACGGCTTCGACGACTATGAGGCCTGTTCTGCCTTAAACCTTGATGTCTCCGCGCCTATTACCAATGACGGATATTTCACAGCAGAGGCCTATCCCGATGACCCTGAGCGACTGACATCTGCCCCTTCAATTCTGGACGGTGGAGGCAAAGTGGTCCTGGAGATCCTTGGGGATGATGTCCTTCACGTCCATAAGTACACTCACAAATACCCCTATGACTGGAGGACAAAGAAGCCGGTTGTAATCCGAGCTACCGCACAGTGGTTCGCCGACGTTGGCAGCATCAAGGGTGAAGCCCTTTCCGCTTTGGAAAAGGTCAAATTCATTCCTGCGACAGGGAGAACGCGGCTCGAGAGCTTCGTCCAGGGCCGAAGCGAATGGTGCATCTCGAGGCAGCGCTCCTGGGGTGTGCCCATCCCTGTTCTCTATGATCATGAAGGAGAAGCCATTTGTACTGACGAGGTTATCGAACACATCATCTCAACTATTAGAGTGCGAGGCATCGATGCTTGGTTTTCTGACAGCCCTGACGAGCCTGCATGGGTAGCGCCTGGTCTCAAGGGTGAATATCGACGAGGCGCAGATACTATGGACGTCTGGTTCGACAGCGGTAGTAGCTGGAGTCAGACCGAGGGTCAGGCCGACGTCTATCTAGAGGGCTCCGACCAGCACCGCGGTTGGTTCCAGTCCAGTCTCTTGACTTGGATCGCCGCCTCCCGAGACCAGAACCTTTCTCTTACACGGAGCACCGCACCCTTTAAAACCTTGGTGACCCATGGATTTACGCTTGACGCTGAGGGCAAGAAGATGTCCAAATCTGTCGGAAACATGATTCTCCCAGTCCAGGTAATGAACGGAACCCTGCTACCTCCTATCAAGGTCAAAGGTAAAGCAGGCAAGAACCTACCGCCTACTTTCAACGCACTCGGACCGGATATGCTTCGACTATGGACCGCAAGCTCCGAGTACACCAAGGATGTCGCCATTGGGGAGTCTGTGCTAAAGACCATCCAGGTTGCACTTTTGAAATACCGCACCATTATGAAGATGTTACTTGGTTCCATGCACGAGTCTGCGCGTCATGGCCCTTTAACCACAGTGGACCATATCGCTCTAGTGCACCTCAAGGACGTGATGAGCGAAGTTTCCACTGCATACGATAACCATGAATTTTACAAGGCCTTCTCGACGCTCAATCACTGGGTTTCGACGGATTTGTCTGCTTTCTACCTAGAAGCTCTCAAGGATAGGTTGTACTGTGGAGACGGTGGTGGCGTCCTTGAGCCGCTTTTCTTTGGATTCTCGAGAATGCTATCACCCATGGCGCCGATGCTCGTGGAAGAGGCGTGGGATAACCGACCCGAGTGGATGAAGATTGACCAGTAGGTTTTGGCCGCTTTGGATTGGGTTATGGTAACTTGGCACTGACCTGAGTTCTCTAGATCACTCGTACACCCTCTCCAACAGCTCTACGATGCGCCCCTCTTCCCTAGCCACAGGTTCGCCATGAATGAGAGTGAGCTAAGGAAGGATATTCCTATCGTTGTGTCGGCTCACGCGGCGGTGAAATCAGCCCTTGAAACCGCCCGGCTGGCTAAGGCACTAGGCTCATCACTTCAGAGTTCTGTCGTTATTTCCGTGCCCGAAGGGATGTAGCCGCAGCACTTAGAAGGCACGTGGGTGAACTTGACAGCATCTTTGTCGTCTCTTCAGTTGGCATCAATGTTGCCGTCCCTGAGACCACCTGGGTATACGAAGAGACATTTGAGGTCAATGGGGTGCAAGGCAAGGTCCATATTCTCCCACCCAGACAGCACAAGTGCGAAAGGTGCTGGCGATATCTCGCTGAACAGGAGGACAGCCTGTGTCCAAGGTGCGACGGGGTCGTCGGTAAAATGTAAAATATTGAAAGAATTAGAGGACTTGTATTATATTTGCACGTGGAATTTTAGAAGTAGATACACTTGGGCGGCTTCTTCTCAACTTATTAGTAGATTTCTATGTCCTGAAATTATACTCGGATTGATAAATATTCAGGGGATACAGCCACATTTGCGATTAACGTGAATTGTTTAGTAATCGAGTTTTCGATGGCACGGAATCCAGTCCTGGTTTTGATACCTTGTGTGCATGTGACGACACATGAGGCCCGCGACGCACGATTCGTGATTTCCCCGGAGATGGGATTAACAACCGTCCTTTCAAACCCGCTCATTATTTCTCGCTAAGGGCTCACAACCGAACAACGAGCCCGTCCTGCTGCTGCATACCGCATATACTCACAACCACTGCGGCTTTTTTCTCTTTTTTTTCCTCTTTCTTGCTTCTGCACCATGCTCTAGGCCTAGCACCGCAACCCGACCCATATCCTTGTAACCGACGACACCTCCCATCATCCCCACGCGCGGACGAGGCGAACCGAAGCACCGATTTGCCGTAACCACGAGGGGAAGCCGAACAGCACATTTGGGAGCCTGTCATGCTGCACTCCCGAAACGCATAAAAACGGTGGTTTCCGCTGCGATGGCGGAGAATAGTCGTGGGCTGTCGTTAGGCATGCAGGGAGAGAAATCGAACGTTGCCAAGGCGTCGGGCGAAAGCAGGCTTTGGGCTCGAACGAAGTGAACGCGACGAGAAGTACGACGAACGAGCCGAGGAGCACGAACCATGTCGAGGATAATCCATCGAAGAAGGAAGAGACGCTGCCCGGCACAAATGCAGCCTCGAGGTTATCGCGAGTTAGCCAGAGATCGCAGAAGCCGAAGAAAAGTGGGGGTTTCCTACTGCAAGGCACTGTTGCGGAATCGAATACCGCAGAGGAGAATGCTCCCCAGCGAAAAAGAAATTCGAGGAGACTTTTGCAGAGCATCAGGCCGAAATCCTCGAGGGCACAGGAGAAGAGCAACTCTGCTACAAGTCGCGATGGTCTCGGGATCACGGCAGATCAGGACGGGAGGGAAGGATCGACCGCCTCACCACAAAAGTCTGAGTTGAATGTTAAGAAGACTAGAGATGCATCGCGCGAGGCTCCTGCGCCCGAGGAGCTGGATAGACCAGATCGGTCCTCGCTCGATGCCGAATCGGCGCAGATTGTAGATATGGCCTTGCGAGTTAGTCAGTCGAGGAGGCTGGCGTCACAGCGGCTGGTATCACAACAGCTCCCGCCGCGACTTAGCCCGCTCCCCGACACCTCTGGTGTGAGCAGTCTTCGGCAGCACTTGCTCCAACAGAGGAAGATGTCGAGAACGGGTTCCCCACGGCCCGATCGAGTGACACCTCGAAATGCCTCCGGCTTGCGCCACGCATTTGAATCATTCGATGTCACCGCAACAGACGGAGGATATCGCTATCACGTTTCTCAGTCTACTCTTGCCCGGGTCCAAAAGGCCAAGGAGTATATCGAACTCATGGCGCAATATCGACGGCTACTGGAACATGTCCCTCCGTTGAGGGCTAATGGTTCTCACCCACCTCCAACGGCAACATCAATGCGGTCTTCGCCTCGATCGTCGGCTTACAATACACTGGGCCGACAATATAATCCCCTTCAGTACATTCGCAACCGCAAAGTTAGGGCCCGGGAACGGCAGGCGATCGATGGTGAGGCACAAGGGTTTAAAGATGTCGCCCAAGTTACGAGCTGGATAGATGAGATCGATCTCACGTCACACACAAGCCTCGAACCCTCAGTCGCCTCCGAGATTACCCCGCCGCTTCCCGTCTATCACCAAGCAGAGATGGCCTCCGCAGATGTGTTTACAGCGTCAACAAGTTCGAATGCCTCGGCGAAGCCTAACAGACCTCGCGTCGATTGGATCGTCGAGCCTGCAGATATGATTGCCGATGTGTATTGGTTGGAGCAAGGTAGCAACAAGCTTTTGATTGAAGACCGGCAGTGGAGCCGGCTCTATCCCCGAGGTTCCGATCTTGAGGTATCTCTGCGGCACATGTCCTCACCCCAGAATGGCCCCGCGGCTACAGTGACGTCTCGCCCAGGGACGAGAGAGCATGCAGAGGAATTGGTGCAGGAGAAAACCCCAGACTCCAATCCCCCAAGGTAGAGGCTGAGCCCTCCCTGATCATCCTCGGGACCGGTCCCGTCTACGTCCCAGGGGTATGCATCACCGCCACCATAGTTCTCTCCATAGTAACCACGACTTTTTCGGTTGGCAAGAGGGTCTGCGTCTGATCTGTCGGATAGCGACAATGACTATAGGGATACGCGGTTTAGGAGCGGCACAATCACAACTTCTTCTAAGGATATCCTCGCAAAGCAGATGATGGAGATGATTGCAAAGGAAGAAAAGGAAACGACCTCGAAGCCACCAAGACCCGAAGCTTCAAGATATCCTCCCGTGTCCTACCGTACACCTGAAAAGTAAAGGATCCCGGGTCTAAGCCACCAAGCCGTCTACACAGCCGCCAGAATTCGTTTAACAACGCCACGAGCGACCGGGAGGAGAATTCTGGTGCGCGGGTGCAGGAGCCTCACTCATCCCTCCGCAATCGTCGCCCACGGCGCCCTCGCTTAGACGTGCCATCCGGCGGCGACCGGCCGTCGTTGGAGGTAGAACGTACTGCGCCAAACTCGCCGGAGGCAGTTCCTTCCCGAGATAGCTACCTCGACATATCGCCTATGCCTAGCCGCGGAGGCTCGCCCACGCGCAATCCATTTTCCAAAGTCAAGCAAATCTTCAAGGATCCAGCAAAGGAGAGATACTCGATCAATATTGACGAAAAGTTCCGCGAGATTGACGTGGACGCCGATCTTTCTCGGTGGACATCGGATCCCTTCAACGCCCCATCCGAGAAGCGAAGCACTTCTCTCGAGAGACAATTATCGACTAGCTCGAATGGCCGACCCGCTGCCGGTAGAATCCCACCAGATGCTGGCCTCGGCCACCGCCGCCTACCTAGCGTCAAAGTCAAGGGAGATGAGGGTGCAGGAATCCGGGGTCTTCTCCGTGGGCCAGGCGCGCGGATTGATACGGTTCTACGAACTGGAGTGTCAAAGTTAGGCGACATCATCTGGAAGAAGGAGCTTGATCTGCCCGAGGCCGTTTTGTCTGAAGAAAGCTCGTCGTCAGACTCGGAAGGCGAAACAAGAGGCCGTAAGGGCACATGGCCTCGTGGTAGCCATGACGAGTCCGTCGATGTGGCTAGGTCGTACCTTAACCAGATGCCCGAATTCCATCATACTGGGCGGCCATCTGATGCCACCCGAACTAAGACTAGCGATCCGGTCAATGATATGCGAGGGTCAAGACGCTTGAGCTTCCAGTCTGGAGGTTTTAGTGACGCCACAACGCAACAGGCCAGCCAGAACAACAAAAGCCACCTTTCCCCGGACGAACAGTCGGACTTATCCGACGGGCCAGGGACGGGACAGAGAGCTAGAGCTCAAGCTAAGCGCTTAACAGCAATGTTGGCCGTCCCACCCTCGTTTAGCACTTCGCGGCACTATTCATCCATGTCCCGGCAATCGGACCCTTGGTCTGTCACGGTGCGCAGCCGCTCCCTGAGCAACACGCGCCGGTCTCGAGACGTGAGATTGCTCGCCTTCGGGCTTTGCTCCTCAGCTCCGGTGTCATGGCTATGGAAATTGCACGCCGGGCGAATCATGCGCGCCCTCTTCCTTTAGAGAAGAAGGCAAAACTCAATGCGGATGGATCGGAGGATGAGGGCGACGTGGTGGGTATAAATTGGCGCGACATCTCCGACCTTGCCGAGGATAAGGCGGCGCTGGCCTCGCAGGTGGTGGCGCCCGCCGACATGTTCACGTGTGCCGGTACCGTCCTCAATGACTCGATCCAGGCTTCCACAGACCGATGGCAGACCTCGGCCGATAAGTTTACCAATGAAACAAGCGCCGGTCTGCACGCTGACCTCGAGGCCCTCCGCGTCAGGCTAGGGGCGGACCTCTTATCCATGGCTCGCGCGGCGGCAGATGACGCGGACGAGACCAACCGAGCGGTGACACAGACGCAACGTTTCCAAGTCAAACAGGTGGTCGACGTCATCGAAAGATGCTCCGCAGGAGACGGCGGCGCTTCCGATGGGTTCGAAGAGGCCTTTGGCTAGGTGTTGAATGGGTGCTTGTCGGCTTCATGTGGTATGTGTGGTTTGTCGTCATGATGTTGAGGGCGGTGTTGGGCATCGGCACGGGGACGATCAAAGCCGTGAGATGGCTTCTGTGGTTGTAGGAAACGATGGTTTTCTTCTGTCCCCCGTCTTGCTTGTCTACTTTCATGATATCCCTTTTTTCTTTTCGTTACCATCACCCTGGTATACCTAGCTCATACTTTTCCCATTTCTTCTGTTCTTATACTCCCCTACTGGCGGGCGCCTCTTTATTTTTTTCTTCTCTTCACTTTTGGATCTTTATCCTGGCACGAATATATCCTACTTACATGTATAGAAATGTAATGCATCGTTTGGCTGTGGTTGCTCTGCACTCGAGTTTGGAGGGTTTTGGCGGGCGAGGAAGAGTACTTGGGATTTTCCATCTTCCGTAGCCTTCATCTTCAAGGTTCAGCTATAGCCAACAATTAACATGATTTACTTCTTCCTTTGATAGCGAATGAAGGCCAGGCCTCATCTAATCAAATGTATACCCTCTAGGGAAAACTACAGAAATATGAACCATCGTGCAGGATTCTGATAAATAGCCTCCAGAGGCCAGTGTAGTCTGCCCCTCTGGCTTCTTTTTCACTTAGCGACACGAAGGGAGCAACCTTTTTAAGTATGTACCAGCTTTGAATTTGATATTAAACATCGAGATTATAGACATAGAAGAAAAAGCCCACACACAATGTGCATGCACGCACGCCACCAAGGGCAAGGCGGAAATATATATTCTGCCTTCCATTTCCGTTATTTCACAGCCACGACCGCCCCCGGCTCTCCACGATCTGAATGGTGCGGAGGAGGGATGGGGTGGCAGGTAAGGACAAAAGAAGATGTACTTTCCTACAATCCGTACTCCATCATATGATCATTCAACATATCTCTTTTCTTTCACTTTTTTCACTTTTTTTTTCTTTTCCCATTCCGTCCCGCTTAGAGGGCCAACCAGGCAGCAGCGGCAACAGCCGCGACCATCCACGAAGCACCGGTGACGGTGGAAGCGGCATTCTCCTCCTCGGCGGCGAGGGCACTACCGAAGCCGCCGACGGTGTTGGGGGCATCGCGGAACGTGGTTCCGTTCCTCTCACCGATGCTGTCCCTGCCGACGAGGAAGGACTCGGGGGTCCGAGGTACGAGGGCCTGATGCCGCCGAGGTTGATGACGATCTTCTGGACGAGGATGCTGGGGAGGAGAGCCCAGATGCGGAGAACGTACTCGCCCTCCTTTTCGACGGTGAAGGGAGAGGTGGTCACGTTGGAGCGGAGACCCCAGACGCTGTCGGAGACGGAGTGGCCCCACTGGTTGGGCATCTGCGTGCCCTCGGTCTTGCTCACGGGGCGGACGAGCTTGGGCTCGGGGCTCTCGGCGCCCTTGGGGAAGAGGGCGACGGCGTACTCGAGCGGGTTGAAGTCGCCGAGGTAGTTGTGCGAGGGGAGAGGTAGAGCGTGACGTTGGCGGTGGTGTTGGTGTAGAGGTAGAGGTTGTACTCGAGCGCGGGGCCCTCGCCGAGCTCGAGCTTTTCGATTCCGTAGGGGACGATACCGACGGCGGACGAAGTACGGCCGTAGTTCTTGAACGTGTGGTAGGTCAAGTCCTCGTTGTCCGAGGTGCCGGGGACGATGGCCTGGTAGTGCTCGCCCTCGATGGAGACGACGCCGTCGGACTCGACGAAGCCCTCGAAGCCTGAAGGGGGAGCGGCCCTCTTGTTGACGGGGACGAGGACGCGGGGCTCTTGGTAGGCGTACTTTTCAAAGTGGCGGCAGGGAGTGGTGATGTTGATGTAGAGGGTCTTGGAGGTGAAATCCTCGGGTACGCTATCCCAGTCGATCGAGACGAGAACGCGGCTATCCTCGCCACCATCGGCACCGACGGTACCGGTGCTCTGGGAGAGCTTGATCCACGACTCCTCGGGAGAGGCGGTCCACTCGCAGGTATCAGTGCCGCGCCAGAAGACATCAAAGTAGCGGGAAGAGGCACCGTAAGGCTCGAGGGGAGGGAGGGTGAGATCCCTGCCGCTGTTGCCGTGCCACTGGTCGTCACCGGGAACGGTGGCGTTGGAACCCTCAACACCGACGCCGACGTGGCCGGCCAGAGAGTTGACAGTGGTCTGGACGTAGGACATAGCGGGAAGGGTGTTACGCATGGGCTGTTGCCAGTATCCCTCGTAGTTGATGTGGGTTTCTGCAAAGAAGGGGGAAAAGTGTCAGTTTCACTTTGTTCAACTCGGAAAGCAAAGGTGTGGGATTTCATGAAAACTTACGATCCAGCATGTGCGCCCACTTTCCGTCGAGGAGCTCGTCCCACTCCTGGGTAAGATTGGCATCAGCAAGGAGGAGGTCAACGTTGTAGGTGATCAAGTCGTTGGCAGAGTTCCTCTTCTGCCCAGCGTACAGGGCGTTGCGAGCGGCAACGATGTTGATCTTGTGGACAATCTCTCCGCCACGAACGGGGTGGAGAATCATCTGGAAGTAGGCGGGCTGGAATTCGGCATCGAGCCTATCATACACGGACTGCGCGTCGCGGCGGAGCTCGGCCCACTGAGCGAGGACGGACTCGGCCTCGTAGTAGTTGATGACACTGTAAACGTGGGGCTCGAGGAGCTCGTACTTGCGGCGGGCGGCGTAGAGGCCGTAGCGGGTCATGATGTTGGCAATGTCCTTGGCAACTTCGGCGTTGAACTCGCGGGTAGCCCAGGCCTCGAGCCACTCGGAGGCGCTGTCGATGTGCCACTTGTCGGTATCATAGGCGAGATCGAGGTAGTGGCTGATGGGGATCTCGAGGGGCTTGAGATCACCGACGTTGACGATCCAGATGCGGTCGGCGCCGCGGGACTTGGCAAGGTGCATTTGCTCGGCCGTCTTGTGGAGCTGGATTGTGTTGATCCACTTGTAGTCGCGCGGGTCGCCGACATAATCGAAGTGGTAGTACACACCCGCACCACCCGAGCGGTCGGTCTCGTTGGCGAGCGGGAGACGGCGGACGTTGCCCCAGTTGTCGTCAGACCAGAGGAGGGTGATGTCCTCGGGGACGTGGAGACCCTTTTCTTGGTAGGTCTGGACCTCCTTGTACAGGCACCAAGTCTGGGGGATGGTGGTGACGTCCACCTCGAGGGCCTCCTCGATGACGGAACGCTGGTTCTTGACGAGCTCCTCAAGCATCTCGAGGAGGGCGCCGAGACCGAGGCCACCCTCAATCTCGGTATCACCGGTTCCTCTCATCGCCATGGTGAACAAGCTGTTCCTGGCGTAGGGCTTAGCGCGAAGGGCACCAACCCGGAAGTAGTCGTCAATAGTGTTGTTGTTGAGGTTGTACGCCCAGGGGCCCTCGTAGTAGGTGCGGAACTCGTTCTGGCCACGCATCATGGGCTCAGTGTGAGAAGAACCGAGGACAACCTCGTAGGCATCGGCGAGGGGCTGGTTCTTGTTGTCATCAGTGTAGTAGATGGATCCCCAGAGAGTAGGCCAGAAGTAGTTGGCGCGGAGACGGAGGAGCAGCTCGCAGACCAGGCTGTAGAACTCATGGGTGTAGCCAGCTGCGCCGTTCCAGGCATCAGGGAAGTTGCTTCTACATGAAGGGGAAAAAGGGAGATTAGCAAAATTCCGGCTAGCCGAGTCCTTGAAGACTCGTTTCCCTTAGTGTGGAAATGTGTTAGAGGGATTAATGATGGTGCTTACCCAACCCAGTTAGAGAGACCAGGCTGCTCATCGTTCAAGAAGAAGCCTCGGTACTTGACAGACGGAGAACCCTGGACCTTGCCTTCGGAGAGGACATAGATATCCTGGTGCTTCTTGGTGGGGACGTCGGCCCAGAAGTACCAAGGGCTCACACCAATCTGCTCGCTGACGTCGTAGATGCCGAAAATGGTACCTCGAGGGTCGGCGCCAGCAATGACGAGGGCTTGAGCAACACCCTCGATGGGCTCGTCGACAAGCACGCTGACGAAAGCCTCCCACTCACCCTCAATATCGGAAACATCGATCTTGCCATCCTTGACGAGGCTGTCAATGAGGAAGACTTGCCAATGGTGCCGGCAATGACGACGGTCTTTGCGGCCTCCGGATCGGCGTATGCGGGGCCGGGGAAGGACTCCTCGTCTAGAAGGTTGTACTATACGGGGAAAGAAAGACGGGACTTGTTAGTCTAACGTTTCCTAGGCAGCTCAGCCCATTGCCATTTCTGTCACGGCTTCTTCCACGATTTTAGCCGAGAAGGCGGGGAGGGATGCACGGGTGAGTCTATAACGGTGCATTGATGGCATGCAGCCGCAAAGAACGGCTTGGGCTCTCGTCTCTTCCTATAAAGCGGCAAGAGATCCGTGCCAAAAATGGGTGGGTGGTGTGAGGGTGATTGCGATAGACTAAGTCCTGCCTCGGCGAAAGAGGCCACAAGGATGTACAAAAATTGTTGAGCAGCACCTTGCGCGATGGCATCGCATCGGAAACAATTCCACTAGAATTGACCAATTGAAGTATACCAAAGACTCCAACTTCCGCAGAACAAGAAAATCGTGAAATAAAAAAAAGTAGGAAGAGCGAGTGAAAGAAGGGGTTACAGAAAAAAGAAAGCCAAGGGTGAAAAGACCGAAGGGCACTTACAACCGTGTTATCCGACACATCAGCCGGCTTAAACTTGTATTCCGCAGGGGAGGCGCCAGACTCGCCGTTGCTAAGGGTGTAGTTGGTGCCGGTGACACGGCCAAAGTCGAGGGCGAGATCGCCAGCAGCGCGGATCACGCCCCAGTACTCATCCTCGGAGACGCGGATCTGGCCGGCGCCGATATCCTTGCCAGCGATCTGGAAGGCGCCTTCGGAGCTCTCGAAAGCGATGATTTGCTTTTGGCCAATGGCCGCGACGAGCGGGGCCAAGCCGGCGAAGGCGGCCACGGCGAGGGCCTTGAGGCCAAGGGGTGCCATGGTTGCTTGTGTAAGTCGAGCGGTGCAGACAGGAAAACAACGGGCGATCAAGGTGTGGATCGTCACCAGGTAACTCTCCGTGTTAAGCTCTTACCAAGCTTATCAAGGGAGAAACGTCCTCGCTATCCTTTTATAAAAGGATATACGGCCTCGACTTCGTAAGAGGAGGAGGGGGGATGGGAGGAAGCAGAAAGGAGAGGAGAGGACCGAGAACTTTCAGTGAGCACAAGGAGGCCCCCTGGATCCTTTTATAATGAGGGGAGCTGTCCCAACGCACGAGGTTCCATTCTGGAGAGCTACGACAATTCTTATTTCTCCTCTGGCCACAAAACCCACAATGATACTATATGCGGAGTAAGTGGTAATGAGGAAGTACTATACCCGGAGAGCTGGATATATTGGACGGGCACCTCCGCCGCGTGTGTGTGTGGGTTTGGCGACCCCCTTCGCATCCGTTCTCGAGGCCTGCTAGGATCTTCGGGTCCCTCTACAGGTACCCGGAATGTAAACGGCGCACGCAATAATAAACAACCTCTCTTTCACGGGAAACGGTCCTGCTACCCTGTCAAGCGTAGATGGGGATGGGATAACCGAACTTCCGCTTTTCCCTTCTCTTCGCCGTCGCATCGTTTCCGCACCGCAGCGCGCCCTCTCATTAACGGAAGGATGAAGGGTAGTGCTCATTTTTTCCCCGTTTCATGGAAACCGTGGAGGATGATGGCCATTGAGGAGGCTGGGAATGGAGGCTAGCCGACTACGACTGTAGATGGACGAGAGCATCTGTGTACAGGGAGCACTATCCCCATGGAATGGATAAACCTTTATTTGATCAGGCGTGATGGCGTCGTATTGATGACCCGCCAAGATCCATCGGATCTTTGGTTCCCTTCTCCATCGCGTATTTCCCCACCTTGTTCCTCTCCTCGACTTCTCTTCCTCTCAATTCGTTTCTCGCCCAGAATCCGGCTCGGGGCGGCTGTTATTGCCAGCCCAGTTGGGGTCTTGATGACGCGAAGCGGAGGGGTGGAAGGAGAACCGTGGAGGAGGGCACAAATCCCCAGGGTAATTCGGGATCAACGGCCACCGTGCCCATTTCCAAGTGGGAAGCCCCATTGGGTGAATGGGGGAGGAGGAGGTGATCTATGTACCCAAAAACGGCTCGAGATTCAACACATCAAAGCGGGGAGTTGGGGTCCGCCGATGAGGGTTTGCTGCGATTTTGTCTGTTTCTTTATTATTCCTCGATTGTCCGTCGCTAGCCAAGGTAACACGGCCGAGGGACAAGCCGGGGTCTGGAGAAGAGAAGAACAGGTAAACAGGGGAGTAAGCCCGCTTTTTCTCCCCAATGGACGATTATTTTCCCTTCCCGGAGATGTTAGCGGCGGATAAAGTAGTTGGCCGGGGTCAGGGAAGAGGGTTGCAGGAACGGTTGATGAGAGACACTAAAGGCTTCCTTGCCCGTTCGCTGTTGCCGCCTGCCGCTGCGGTGCTTGGCACATTTATCTTTTAAGTCGGAACTATTTGTACAGAGATGCGATGGGGGATGTGTTGGGCATGGAAAGACGTTCATAGAGTCTGAGGAACCAAGCGATAGGGAGACTTGGATGACAACCGATGGTGATGGTCCATAGATGGACAGAGAACAGTGGTTGGGAGCCGTCAGGTTGATGACCGGGGCTTCATGTTAATTGAGCTTGTGACTCTTCTGGGAACGCTGAACTTTAAAATAACATGGAAGGACCACCCAAGCTCTGCATGTCAAGCTGCTTGGTCACGTCGTCTCTTCCAAATTGATGAGCGGTTCCATGGTGTCGTACATTTCTTACTCCATCTCCCAGCTCGGCGCGACCACTTCGACCACTCCACGCCAGGGGCATGCTGATTGATATGGCTCATCAATGCAAGATATACTCCGTCCTCATTGAGTTCGGGTCTGCCTTTCTTCGCTCTTCACCTCTTCGTCGCTTCTCCAACTGCCATTCCATACATGTGGTGCATCGAGGAAAAGGAGAAATCGGAGCTGCGAGCCAAGCCATCAATTGCCAAAAAGGTCAACGAGACCCAACTACACCTACTCCTCCTCTGCTGGAAAAAAGCCCGATTTCAGGCAGTGTGACCCCAGGATCGGCATGTCCACGCCAAGAACTTCAAGGCGCAAGCACGGTACGCCGGCCCTAACTGCATTGGACAGGCAGGGCCCGATCATTGATCCCTCTATAAACTCCGCACCGGAATACTCGAATTCCCATCGACGGTCCACCGCGACGAGTGATCACAGATGAACTTGGCCTACATGTACGCCGAGCTGAGACGCGACGCGATGCAAGCAAGTTAAGCGCGCCTTTTCACCACCTTCAGCAATTGCCAGGCGGCATGCAAAGGTCATAGATAGAGGCCACTCTACTTAGTTATAGTAGCCTAAATTAAACGACACCGTCTGCTGGGAGTGCTGTCACTTCACTCTCATCGTTTGGTCAAGCTGTGAGAACAGGATATACCGAGGTAGAGGTGCACGACAGGAAAGATGGCTCTGGTACGTTGAACACCGGCTCTCCTCTTTGCCTCGTCACACAATTTTTTTGTTCATCTTTCTCTCTCTCTCTCTCTCGTCTTTTGAGTTGAGATTGCCAGGTGTTGTTAGAGCAAGCGTTGAGGGCGACATATGCGGGTTTATCCCACACCTTCCTCGCCCAACTTCCTTAGATTGGGTTTGCCTGAGATTGAGATTAGCCAAGGCTTTCTCAGATCAACTCTACAGTTCATTGAGAAGAGGCTCTGGGCGTTCCGTCTTCCGTGGGCCATCGGGAGTCCCGAAATGGCAAAAAGGTGAGGTCCTGGCCCTCCTGATTCGTGGGTAAACACCTGCCTTGAAGGTGCCCTGATGCCCTGAGGCGCATGTACCTGGATTATTCAATGATGGCAAACCCCGACATCAATGCTCGCCCAGTGTCTTCTGGGGCTCATCTATTAATTTCAGGACTCAAGATGCCTGATGCCATTCTACGCCAAGCCCCCGGAGAAAACACGACGCGCGCTGTCTGAGGAGTAAACGGCCAAGGCATGCGTTTACCCATGTTTCCCCGATACGGCTTGTTAGGGCTGCAACTCTGCGAGCGTGGAGAGATCCATAGATGCCGTGTTTGGCACGCTGGGCCTCTCCACTTCTTCTGTACTTTGTCAATCCCCCGTCCGGCCTTGGTCCCTCAAGCCACCCAGCGTGCCTGCCCGGGTGGAGTATCTCGCATTTAGCCGCGGAAGAAAAGAAAAAGGAACATTGAACACAACCACACCTCGCCATCGTCGGTTGCCTTCTAAAATGTCCCCCTCCTCCCTAAAAACGGGCTAGGTGCCAACTAACTGGGAAGAGGAAGACGACCGAGTAAAAGTGAGGGTCGAGAACATTTCCCTCATCCCCTTGCCTTTTGGGTCTGGGAAATAACGATGCGCCCTTGATGCCACGGCCCGCTGCTACCTCAGCACCTCCGTTGCCCGCATCTTTCCATTCTTTACTCACGCAAGGCCGGCGAAGAAATGAGACCACAATGCGTCCCTTGAGAAGCATTTCCTCCACTCCTCTCTTTCCTTTCATATCGAGGTTTCGGGGCCGGATTGTAAGGGTTTCTTCTGGAGAGTGTCGTGGATTACTGTATTGGAAAACTGGATATCCTTGGACCATCCACGTGGTAAATATATGATACCGGTTGCGTTTGCAGCGGGCAGGAGGAACTTGTTGTCTCTCTGTCTCGCATTCGTTGAATCAGGCCAACGACGCTCTTGTTTGATGGATGCAGAGGCCACAGGCACCGACTACCATTGCTAGTGACGGCCTACAAGAAAAGATCAGACATGTTGTATCAGAGATCGTGTGTATCCCGCCTCGGTGCTCAGGTTCACATGCCATCTTTACCAAGGCGTAAGTTCGGCATGTAGGGCTTCCAAGTCAATGGATTGATCTTTAGAATGGTTGATGACGCCTATACTTCTTTTTCGTTATTTTCTCAGCACACATGGTTTGATATTTCTTCGCTAGTATAGTGTACATGCACCTATTAATAGGTCTCTCTCAGTCTCCTCCCTGGTGGATTCATTCCCATCCCATACCTAACCGTCAATCTTCCAGTTTTCTCCCTCGCCGGTGGCCATGCAAGTTGTTATTGATCTCGCTAACACAAAACACCCTTCTGCACTGTGCTCACTAACCCCCTTGGTCCAGGCGCCGTCCACCTGTTCCTCGTTTAAGTTCTTTCCCAACGCCTATAGTTTCCCAGGGTTCGCCTAACTTTTCGGCCCGGAACTCCCTTTGCCTGGTCTGGTCCCGGGATACGCAAAACGTAAGAAAAAGCAGACACAATACAGCTAGTAGAAGGAGACACGACCGAGTCAAGGAACAATCGTAAATTGTAGCCTCATTATTAGCCGGCTGCTTCAGCTTGTTGGATTCACGGCGAGTCTCAGCAGGGTCCGCAGCCGCGGAGCATAAAGATACAAAGTGTAGCTGTTGCTCGTGAGGGCTGCCGAAGTACGCTGTTTCGAACGAGGCTTTCAATTCCGCGCGAAGTAATGGCCGGGGCGGTATCGATTTTAGTGAGCCAAGGCATACCGGGGTAGTTGCGCCATCCTCTCCTCGGGGCTGATATCGGCATCCGAGTAAAACATACGTGACTTGTCCTTCTTCGACGTCTTCTTCTCTGGAGCCGCTTCATCCTCCTTCCTGCCAGGTTTGACGCCAGCCTCCGCCATGCGGATGAGCTGGTCAATATCATCGCCCTGTTGGGCCGCTCCCGAGACAAGCTCATCTACCGTAGATGCATTGCCCGAGTAACCTGGAGGGTGCGTCCTGGCCGTTCCAAAGTTGCCGCCGTACGCGGGGCGCGCAGGCAGACCAGCGGGCGCCGGGGGTGTTCCGCTTGGGCGTGCTGGGAGGGAAGACCCAGGGAAGCCGCCGTAGGCCGGGGCGCGCCGGGGGCGCCGGGAGCACCGGGAGCGCCAGGAGCACCGTACTGGCCTTCTGCCGGATAGTGTGGTTGAGCAGCAGGGTATGCTTGGTTCTAGAGGTAGGGAACGGTTAGCTATAATCTGTGCAATTTGTCGGATGCCATGGTTGGGGATGAGGGGGCCAATCAAGTTGCTCAGTCCGAGGGGTGTCGGGGAGATGGGGATTATCACTTACGTATGCGCCGGGAGCGGCGCCGGCCCCTCCATTCGCGGGAGACGCGGTGGCCCCGGGAGACTCGCCGGCGGCCTTCCTGGCCTTCCAGTCCGCTAACCTCTTCTGTAGTTCGTCTTTCGTCTCTATCTTGATCTTCTTCTGAGGTTTTCCAGTGCCCGGGGTCGGGTTACCCGTCGCGATACGCCGGTCTTCCTGTGCTTGGTAAAAGTTCTGGATGATTCGGTTTCGATGCTGCTCGAGGGTCTCCTGCGGGATTCCTCCATACCGAAAATCTCGACGTCGAGGCCTTGCCGATTGGGGAGCGCATTTTCTACTTGCGACAGCGTTTCCTTGTGGACTTGGTTCATGTGGACGGAGAGACCTAGAGAAGGGGTCCAGTCCTCGTCAGCTTACTATCGCCTACCCGCGCGTGGCCCTGGGCCCTTGATGCGCGACGTGAGGACTGTGGACAAATATTCATACCTCCGGCTGTGTTGAGCCTTCTACCGCATTCCTCGCACTTGAAATGCTTCGCCTTTTGATGTGAAATGAGCAGCTTCAAATCCTCAAAGTCGCGCTCGCCTGTGTCAACGCGTTAGCGGGCATCCAACGATAAAAACTCCTAGAATGTCATCAAGGTTGATGGCGAGGATATTATCCGTACAGTAATAGCACCAAGGGCGGTGCAGGACCTCCTCGATGTCAGGGTACTTTCTCTTCTTCTTGCCCATGTTGGCGAGGCAAAGGGCCAGATCAGCTGTGAATAAGCTGAGACGCCAATGTAGTTCGTCTGGACAAGACGCTTTCTTTGAATCGCTATCAAACCTTGCCGGCCAAGGGTCTCTGTTGAATAGCGATGGTGGAGGTGAGGAAAACTGATGGCCCAAGAATGCCTGCCTGTGGTTGCTCATCGCTTTTCGTGTCGCGATTGGTGATGCCAAACTTCGTGAGCTCAGCTTCGCCAGGGTCGGTTCGGCTAAACATTTCTCCGAGGGAAATCTCCCGAGGATTTTCCGTGTTTACTGTGTAATATTCTGCAGTTCACCCTTTAAATGCACTGTTTATCGGACGCCGGCCAAGAAGCTATGACGCCCTTCTTCTTTTACTCCTCTGCCTCATGAACTCGAGTCTTAGTTGGGGCATCCCACCATTCCCGATGACGGCACCTCAGCCTTCGAAACAGTCTCCCTGAGACATAAGGGGAAAATAGGAAATCGGACCCCGGTGGAAGTCTGTCTAATCCTTGTTGAGCTAGTAAGGGTTTGGAATCTTCGTGTTGATTTCTTGAGAATAGACGAGTTTTGGAACTCCACGAAGAAGGTACGCCTTGTGCTCCGGTTTACTCCCAACCTAAGCCTTGTTGTACAGGACTAAAGGTACCCAGCTGCTACGGTCTTTCCCGGTAGTGTGAGGTTATCTTGCATCTGGTTGAGGGGTGGGAAGGGAGGCGCAAGACGGAGGACAGGAGTTGGTGGGCAACCTGGCGGGGGCTTGCAGTCGCTCCTGGGGAGGAGGTTTCCAAGATATTCGAGCATAAGGGGCCTACGGATGCCAACTATCCGTCGCGACGAGCACGAATTGGTAGTTGATGAATATCCGATCAAGCCGCATTGACCGGGCTACCGAAAGAATGGTGTGGAAGGGATCTACACGCGTCTTGCCGGAAGAGTTGCTCTTGCAGGCTGTCTAACGACGTCGAGCTGCGACTTGGCATCGCTTTTTCATTGGAGTAGTGGGTTGGACAGCGTCAGAGGTTTCATGCGGGGTTGCCTGTTGAATGCCATCGGGAGAAGGTCTGAGGACCTGCTACTTTGCCGGGTGACGGTTAGGGTTGCTACGAGATGGGGGCCTTGGCCAGGAAGAAGCACGTCTTGCGCCTGGAAAGTTCTTCCAGAGTGAAAATTACACAAAGATCAAGATAGCAGGATCACTTTGCATGTCACACTCAGATGTCATTGGGCCGAGGGGAGACGGCTGGACATGAATCGTCAGGGTTGCACCGGGGCAGGGGTGCTCCTCCTCGCTGGCCCCCTTCTCCTCGTCACTGCAATGCCGATCCTAGCTCGTGCCTGAAGCGTTGCACGCTGTCTCGATTCGACGGTCAACAGGGCGGAGAAGATGAGAAAGTAGGGTAGAGCCCCGGGGCCCCGACTACCGTTAAGTGAGGCATATAGTCGAAGTGCGGCGAAGATGGGCGACATAAGCTCAGAAAAGCGTATCAACGTTGACGTATGGGAGAGTTGGAGTGACGTATTACCTACCCTTTACCCGTGCGGATTTCCGTCTGACGCGGGGCGCATGGGGCCATGTTGACACATCCGGAGAGAGGGTTGACGGGCACCACTCATCACGTCGGCCACAAGAGACAATGTGCATCTCTGACTGCTTCCTGGAAAAGCTTTAGATGGACTATCAACAACTTTTGGCTTGTGCAGGAGAGTATAGGCGGTGAATTTTGCTCGGAAAACGAAAACGGGTGATGGATGGATGCAGAGGGTTTCCTTGTTCTTTACGAGTGCCGTATCATACACGAGATGGCCATTTGGTAAGGGCACCTGACCAAGAAGGGGTGGAACGTGGGGTATCCCCAGTTCTGAAATCGTTTCTAGTTTCAGACCAGATGGAGGAATCTGCGCCCGAGGAATGCGATGACGATGAGGACCTTTGTCTTTTGTTTCTCGTCTGCCCTAGGCAACCCTACAGTTAGCTCGCACTTGGGCTGCATGCTTTACGTACGCTATACCCGGTATACAATGCATGAAACTATTTGCGTGGTCCGAGGCTGAGCTTGCCCGGTCCAACGAGGTCTAGATCTTCGTAAACCTACGGTTGCCAGCTTCTCCCTGTAGTTGCCCGTTGCGCCTTAGCAACTAAAAGCCGAGAGATTTTTGCATTAGCGGTCCCAAGTCCTCTTGTTAACGAATGGAAGAGAATAGAAACAATTCATTGCTATGCCGGGTGACGTTGGAGGGGCCGGAGAAGACCCTCAAACGAAGCCGAGGACATGGCATCCACCGTGTCGCGTCGGGGCGGACGCACAGGAAGAAGCGGGTGCACTGTGACGTCATCAGCTGCCCTTCCCTGCCAATGGGTAGGGAAGGAGCTGTCGGGACAAAGCACAGGGGATGAGGGATCGAGCGAGCAGCTCATTATTTCCTTCTCCTACAAAACGTTTTCACCCTATTTTACTTCTATCACCGGAGACAGGTTTTACTGGTCGAATTCGTAAACCGCGTCATCACAACTAATTTAACAGGTTCGACGTGATCCAGATGATAAAAGCCGATGCATGGTGGGGTTGGTGAGAAAGGTGAGAAGAGAGTGAAAAGGGAGGGGGGCGGGGGCGGGGGCGATGAACTGGAGGGAACTGGAATTCTGAACCTGGAAAGTCAAGACCATGTGTGAGAAAAATCCAAAATCCGGAAAGAGAGGCAAGGAACCCGATCGTGATGGAATCTCGTGGAGCGTTCGAAAACCCCGGTGTACATGCGCACGTCGCATTTGTAAGAATTCGACTGATTTTTCAATGGGAAACCGGAGATTCCCAGCATCGCCGGCAGGCAAAAGGTGTCAAAAATCCTGGAAAGGCAAGGTCGATTTCCCTTCTTTTTATTTCCCGTTCTAGACCTGATACCCGGTGACCAGTTGGATTGATCGATCGCTTTTGCAGCCCACCAGACCTTGCCAGGTCATGCTATCCATGCTGCCTTGACCAACCACGCCAAGGGGGCAAATCTGCAATAAGGGTCTTTGTCCAAGTGGCCTTAAAGATCCATCCGTCCATCCATCCAAAGATCCGTTCCATTCATGGAAGGCTGGTGGTAGGCCGATGCCCCTCCCAAGCCGCGGTGGGTTGGGCTGCAGGCATGGAGCATTAATTACCTGAAAGGTCGGGTGGATCTACAATCTCGGCCGCAGTCCCTGTTACGGGAGTAAGGAGGGCATCGAAGACACGAGAGCTCTTCTTTGATTGTGCTTACACGTCTGGTCCTTGGTTTTGTCTTGACTCGAGTTCCAAGTTTAGCATGTGCGAGGTGAGAATATGCCGGAATTCCTGAACCCAAAGGGGTTTGATATTATTGATACTACAATTTTACCACATCCTACCACATCGTCACACCATTGGAATGGTAGGATTCCTGGACTGACTGATTTCAAGTTGACCATCGTGGGAAGCTCTTGGTAGCCAGCGCCTTCCCGAAGTCAGAAAATCGGGGAGAGAGGGTTAGAAACGAAGAAAGGAAGCGCGTGGCCTAGCATCATCGGATGGGCGATAATAGCGGACCGGCAAGTATTATTGTAGAAGACCCCTACTTGCAGAACTTTGCATCGTTTTCCTTGTGGAGTGATTGAGGATTACATGGATCCCCCATGGATCTAGTGTATGCCGGCAACGCGTTAATGTCGGTTTGGAGAGAAGTAAAATCGCGGCCAAAGTCAGGGTCTTTTGCAACCCATGTTCGCGATGGTCAGTCAACATTTCCCAACTCGGACTTCCGGATCTTGGTGCTGGAGGACTGTAGCGTGTGGTGTGGAGACAGCGAACATTGACGGTCAAATTGATCGTGCTCCTGTCGACAACAGCTTGTTGATGGATCGGTCCACTGAATGATCCTGGGGAGGGGAACATGGCTGCATGGGTGAGGCATGCGTCAATTGATGATGTTGGGGCCGCTAGTCCGATTTGGACGTGCCCAGTCGCTAAGGTGGGTCGAGTTGATATCTCCCTTGTCTATGACGTCACTGCCGAGATCCAGCTCCCACGCCCGTTCACGGGGTCCCTCTGCAGACTTTGATTGCGATACGAGAGAAGGCTTCCTTGTAACAGTTTGTGTGCGTGTGGGTGTGTATTTTTCTTTCTTCTTCCAACAGGCTGTCCATTTCCATGCGTTAGGCAAACAAGATCGAAAGATCAGAGATTTAATTATGACAGGCAGAAAGATTAGACGCTTTCCGTATCTACATGATACAATGAGACACTGTTAAATTCGATGTGGGGGTTTTCGCGTCTTCTGCCTTCTGAACCTTGGCTTCAGGAGAGTCAAGGTCAACAGCACATCCAAGAGTGCAATATCCCCCGTATTATTACCGCAGTTGCGCTAGTCACAGGACCCAAGCGTTCGATATGCGAACAAATCAGCTCCGTAAATCCGCATCTTCACGCCCGGCATGACTCGAAGGAAGCGGTAATCAGGCCCTGCGCGAAAGCCTCCAGCGCGAAAGCCCCCGGCCGATCGCAGCTTCAGTGGCCGAGAAGGACCTATCCCTTCCCGTGCCTGCGGCAGGGTTGGTCCAGGTTTACCACTAACCCGGACCGGACCAAGATCGAGGGAAATTGATGGAAACTTACAATAGAAGTGGAAGATCCAAGCAGCCCCCCAGTATGTAGCGCACGTGCTGACAATGTTGTTGATACTCCGAGTGTTGCATTCTCACGTAAATTTGCTACTACGTCGAGCCGTGTTTGTGCCGAACGCCTTAGTGCAGCCCCATCGATGACCTCTTCAAGATAGCGGGAAGGACTAGGGACTGTTGTGTTTGCTAGAACATCCATGGGCTGCGACAAATCCGTCAATCAGTCCTAAGCTTCGAACCTACGCCACGCCAATTGGCGCGAACAGGATGCTATCAGGTCACGATGATACGCGGCATCCACCCTTGATTAAGGCAACACAGGGCACATTCGTTAGATATGGGCAACTCTATACTGGTATGGTTCTGTAGAGTTCGCAGAAAGGGTAGTATAGTCATGACGAAATCGATCGGGTAACAAGTCTGACTACCTCGACGTGTCCACACTGTTATCGTGAGCCCCCGTCCGTCTTAGAAAGTTCCATTTGTAGTTGAGGCCCGTCACTGTCAGGTTCAGGGCCGGCTATCAGTATCGATACAGTGAGTTCAATGAGATTTGTGGATTCTGCTTTGGCGCCACATCCATCCCCCAACAGCACTTTTCACAGTAAACTTGATTGAGAGGCCCCCTAAGCTGCAGCCCCTGAACCCTCAAGCGCTCTTCTCTTCCTCGAGCTGAGGGCGCGAGAGAGCCTTGAAGAGTTGGGACACGGACCTTCGTTTGAATATAACCCCCACACTGTTCAAGCTCAATGATGGGTTGGGGGAACCAGGAGGCCGACTAGTGTAGATTGATGTCCCCGGCCGTCTCTATTTATTTCCAAGCCCTTACCTCAGGAGAGGTGGTACTCCCAGGTCTAATGCGTCAGGGAACGATGAATGACCCACAGGCTCGCGGATTAGGGAATCCTTCTAACAGCAGGGCACTTGGGCCCCTAAATCGGAGCGGAAGGGGCACTTGAGAACTCTTGGCAACACAGAGAGATCCATTGATCTCTCTCGCTGGTAGAATTTGACCTTCAGACAACCCTGATAGATAAGGGCCATCCTTAGGTTCGTGAGATTGATGGTAGCAGCCGTTTACGGATTCCCACAAGGTGCTTTACTAGAAAGGAAGCACCGTCGGCGAGAAGGGCCTACTTGGCCACAGCCATCTTTGCAATAGACAGGCCTGATATGAGAGGGGTAGGTATCGGGCCAGGGGCATGGGTTACGAGGAGCCATGTGCTTCACGGCTCGAGACCGAGAGGGGACGATAGTCGCTTTAAGGTTAATATTCATGCCGATATGAGGTCGATGGGATCCATGGATGACTACTTCCAAGTATACCCCAGCAATTCCCGTTACCCCAGCATACTATTATTCCCTTTGTGAAGGGCTTTCTGGTTGAGCAGCTCAGGGTTGAAGCCCAGACACGCCCACATACCATACACACGCACACGCACAGAAACATTGATCCATATAAATAAGGTCAATACGTCGAATTCAAGATAGATGCATATGTGCCCACGCCCATGTCCATGCCTATCCATGCCCACACACACACCAGACTGCCTCGCCAACTTCCTCCCCTTCGCTTCCCTTGGTGTCTGACCCCTCCTCCAGGTTTCTCTTCATCCACCTTCATGTCTGCCCTTTGCAAAGCCCCCTCACCTGTTGTTGCAGAAGAGGAGGGCCTGTCTGTGCCTGTGGAGTGATTTGTCCGCAACTGCAGCCAACCCGGGCCGGCCAGGTGATCTCTTGGGTTCTTGGCCAAGTCTCATTGCTTGCCGGTCGGTCCGCGGAGAAGGAGATACGTATACAAGATACATACTGTAGAAGCGCGTCCGCCAAGTTCCAAGGCCAGTTCCTTTCCTGGGGAGGTAGTCCCTCGAGTCTCATCCTCATTGAAACATGGGAGAAAAAGAAGGGAAAAGGAAGGCGGTTTTGAATGGCGAATGTAGCAACTAACACGTTTTCGGTCTTTGAATGTGAAATCTCCGTCTTATTTTAATCGAACGCAAATCTCACCATGGTAAAAGGCCTGTTCTCTTCACCCTCCCCAACTAAACAAGTGTGGTCACTTCGACAGGCAGGTACCCGTGAAACATGGAAACATGGTCCGTTTTTGGCTTGCACCGCAATATCAGCCTGGGTGCTTGAAGTTTTTTCTGCCCTTCTTTTCTGCTTCTGTTTCTTTTTCCCATCCCGTCCCCGCTCGTTGGCAGGGCAGACGGTGCCTTGTTCCATATTTCCTTCTTTTTTCTTTTTTTCTTTTTCTTTCTTTTTCTCTCTCTTATTCTATCCCCCACTTGTTGTGGTGCTCCTTCTATCTTTGCTTTAATTCCTTTTTCTTCGTTTTGGCCTTTTGAAAGGTAAGAACGCAGACTAGATGCGGCCTATCTTGTCCTGTCTCTTGTCTATGGAACTTTACGACTCTTGGCAAGGGACAGCCACTGCATACAGAATTGCCCATTGATGTAGTGCCAGCAAGGTGGAATAATGGATATGTTGAGTTCGGGGTGTGATCTCCTTCCAACCAGAGGTTTGAGTCTGCAGTAGCGACTGGAATGACCTATTGTCGCGTCTGCTAGATGATTTCACCCGCCCCAGCTTTGAGGGCCTTGACATGCGGCTTGAGGAAGAGATAGAAAAAAAGAAAGAGGAAGAAAAAGGGCAAGTGGTTTTGTTGGTTGGTACGGTACCACAAGCAAGGATCAATGTACAGTACACTTGCACACTTGTCGAGCGAAGGCTCCGCCCGGCGTGTGGTCTAGACCAGGCTCTAGCGATGACTGGTCCGCGCTAGGAATCGATGACGACACTTTTTCCTCGCCCGCCTTGCACGCACGTTGCGTGCTGGGTCGAGGACTCCCGCCGTCTTCCCCCTCTCCATATAAACTAGGACCAAGATCCAGCGTCTCCTCCGTCACTGGAGAGCACAGTGACAGTCGCAAACTAGGACACAAAAGTAACCCATAGTCGCTTGCCCCCGACCTATTTCATCACAGTGCTCGCATTTTCCCACTCTCGAACCACCGTCCAGCCCAGTCCAGCCCAGCCCAGTCCAATCCAGTTCAATCCAGTCCAATCCAGTCCCATCCCTCCTGCCTCCATTGCTGTGGCGTTACTGAAACCTCTCTCAAAAGTACGTTTTGTTCCCGGTCCCGCTCCCTGGCCCCAAACGTGACAGAACGTCAGACTGATGCGGATGCGGGCCAAAGAATCATTCAAGCCTCCGCCTTCCTCTGATCTGCGTCGCTCTGTCCTCATCTCCCATCGCGAACGTTGAGAGTAAAACTATTCACTCTCGTCATACCGTCATCCTCTCGTCCTTTTTCCTCCGGCTCCCCCTGCTGTCATCAGCCTCCAACATCGCCTCCCGCGGGCCCTCCCTCAAGACCTAGGCTAGCAGTTTAGGCCCCTCTTTGAAATTTCTACTTTGCTGTCTCTAGGAGCATCACTAGCGGTCCCGGCAGAGCGGAGTGTCCTGCCTTGGATCAAGCGCAGCCCACGGCCGGCAAGCACCTGCATCAGCGAACGCCTAGACACCACCCGCATTCCAAGGTTTAGTTCTTGGCCCGTCATTTCCTCTGTCCCTGTTACACCACACACTACAAGGTACGCCGTTTTTGTTTCCCTTTGACTTTTGTCTTCTCATCGAATCAAGCCTGCCTCCCCAATGCTCTCTCCTGGCGTCGTCGCTTAATACCCAGCCCATTTCCAGTCTCCTCCATACCCACTTCTATCCTTCCCTTCTTTTTTCCTTTCTCTTCCCCCATTCCCTGCATCTCAAGATTTCTGAACTCGATTTCTGTTCTTTCTCATTTGCTGCTTGCGCCTGGTTGCAAACGCCCTGTTAGTATTCACCTTTCCACTGCTGCCTTTGGAGAGGCCTTTCTTCACACAGAGACACACGTCAGCGTCTGAGCCGTTCTTGTTCCTTGCCCCTGACTCCCGCCCGCCCGCCTGTTGATTGAATCATCATTGCCACTACCCCCCTCCTTGGCCATTACGTCCTTCGCTCATCACACCCATCATTTGCCGCCAACCAGCCCGACAGAACTAACCTCATTTTTAGGCCACTTCCGCACTTCGGTTCAATCTTCTTCACGTCATCGTCTCCAACAAAGCAACGCTTGTGCTTAATAAGTTGCTCTTGAAGCTACCTCCCCTCTTCCAGGCACTCCCCACTCTCCCCGCCGCCTCCTCATCCCGCGAAACAATACGTACAGGCCAAACCCAAGAGAATAAGTCAAAGAGAAAAACAAGTTTCTGGCCGCCTTCCCAGCCAACGTCGAAACACAAATCCGACCGGTTTCTTGTAACCTCCCCTCTCCCATTCCCACCTTGAGAGATTGAAGACAAAATATTATCGCCTCCATTTTCGCATCTTCCTTTCGCAGCAAAACGAGAATTTCCCTTCACACCAACGTCGACGATCCAAGCTCGCCGAGACGAGCGATCTCCCATGAACGCCATGTCTACGATACAACAACTCAAGAACTTCATCCGTCACGGTGCGCCCCCTCCCCCACTAACGCTGCTTATTATGTCGCGCATCTCTTCACGTCTTTTTTTTTTTTCTTTTAGTCTTGCACCGGGCGTGCACGGCGTGCTCTCGCCTTAGAATGCAGTGGGCTAATCCTAACTTCCCGAAACATAGGCAAGCAAGCTCGCGTCGCCGCCGATGACGCCGCTAAGAGCCCCGAGACGGTGACTGTACCCCAACCAGCCAAGGTGCACCATGCTGCCTCTGAGCCAACATCAGTCCACGAGACTGCCCAGCACAAGCAAGCGACGAAGTCGAAGCGGATAGACGAATCCAACATTGCTAAGCTCGTTGCCGAGGAGAACGAAAACAAGTCCAAATTCCCAAAGTATCCTGGTCTCGAGCGATGGCAGCTTGTCGAGAAGATGGGCGATGGCGCCTTTAGCAACGTTTACCGTGCCAAAGATCTAACGGGCCCCCACGGCGAGGTCGCAATCAAGGTTGTTCGCAAGTATGAGATGAACAGCATGCAGGTAAGTTTTCAGCCGGAGATGCCAGCCTCTTAGATACATCTCTATGGGGATGGCTCTCACAGGTCTCTTTTCCTCCTGTCAAGAAAAACAAGAATGCGAAGAAGCCTACTCTTCTTCCATTCTCCCCATGCCTGCCCACCCTCTCCCCCAATCTCTATCTTTCGCTTTTACCAACTAGAGGGGTTTCCAATGAATAGGGCGACAAGCACCTTCATCCTGATTTCAAGAAGGAGCCGAAAGCTGCAGAGGTGCGGATCTATCTCCTTAATTATGCTCTTTTCTTTTTTCCCTCTCGTTTTCTCCCTTTTTTCTTTTAAAGCATCTTCTATTCTACCCTTACTATCCCCCTTCGTCTCTGCTCATTCTTAACCCGTCTTTTCGGACTCATCCCGGGTCATCCTTCACACGCCCCGTGCATCTAGGTGGCTAGTGGCCGTTTGATTATTGCCTTCCCCTTCGTGTCATTACTTGAGTTTTCTTTGCTTTGTTCTTTGCTTGGCCTCGACTTGCTCTGCAAGCGCGTGGCCCCGGGATGATGTCTTAAGCAATTTGTAAAGTTTATGATTGGAGCAAGGCCATTTCTAACTCGGCTTAACGCATCGTCCTACAGCGTTCAAACATTCTCAAAGAGGTTCAGATCATGAGACAGCTTGACCATCCCAACATTATCAAGCTTCTCGAGTTCTCCGAATCTCGAGAATATTACTACATTGTCCTCGAGCTAGCTCCTGGCGGAGAGCTCTTCCACCAAATCGTTCGACTTACGTATTTCAGCGAGGAGCTGTCTCGCCATGTGATTACTCAAGTTGCGAAGGCTCTCGAGTACCTGCATGAAGAAAAAGGTGTCGTGCATAGGTGAGAAGTCTCCTTCTAGAAACCCCATCAGCGAATGCGGTTAGTCCGGAGTAGAATGCTAAATTGCCGTTCGTGTATCTAGGGACATCAAACCCGAGAACATTCTTTTCAGTCCAATTTCGGTTGTGGCTTCGAAGCACCCCCGACCCAAGCAGCCAGGCGACGAGGATAAAGTCGACGAGGGCGAGTTTATCCCTGGTGTTGGTGCCGGTGGAATCGGTCAGATCAAGATTGCGGATTTCGGCCTTTCCAAAGTCGTATGGGAGAGCCAGACCATGACGCCATGCGGTACTGTGGGTTATACTGCCCCGAGATCGTCAAGGATGAGCGCTACTCGAAATCGGTCGATATGTGGGCGATGGGCTGTGTACTTTACACCCTCCTCTGCGGCTTCCCACCGTTCTACGATGAGAGCATCGAAACTTTGACGGAAAAGGTTGCGAGGGGCCAGTACACCTTCTTGTCACCCTGGTGGGACGATATCTCCAAATCGGCGCAGGATCTCATCAGCCATCTTCTGACCGTTGACCCCGAGAAGCGATACACCATCAAGGAGTTCCTTGCTCACCCCTGGATCCGCGAAGCCGGCCCCACGCCAAGGGAGGAAAGGAAGCATCCCGCCGTCGAGGCTCTCTCGTCCTATGACGTTGGCAGAGTCGATGGCGAGAAGAAGTATGATTTCAGGTCACCGGCCGCTGTCAACCTTCGAGAAGTGTTTGATGTCAGTTACGCCGTACACAGGCAAGAGGAAGAATCCAAGAGGTTGAAGCAGTTTGGAATCAGGAATGCCGCTCCCGATCATCTCAGCCGCCTTGCAGAGGCCGATGAGGACCAGGAGGAGATGGATGTCGACCAACAGCAGGCTGCGACGAAATCTTTGGAGACGAGCATGCGGAACACAAATCTCCGAGACCAGGAGGCTCAGCAGTCACGAGGCCGAGAGAGGAGCGAGCTCCCGCCCCCGCTCCTGCTCCTGCCGCTGCTCAACCGCAGGAGCGTGGTTATGGCCAACACTCGGCGGCAGTTGCCACCGCTGCTCGACAACAGGTTCGGGAGCGACAGAGGCAGAAGGGTGCGTTTGAGTTGAGTTTGGACGGCGCTACCCTACTAGGCCGGAGAGGCATGAAGCCTGCCGCTAAGGTCGGCGGTGCATAAAATGCTCGCTCACTCAACTTTTTATTCACCGCGCGACAAACCATGACTATCGTTGGTAGATAGCTCGCATTTTCAGCATTCGCGATGGCATGATTCTTATCCTCGATACAACCACTCGCTCGCATACGCTTCTTCTCTTCAATCTCTATTTCGGCTCCTGGGTTCTGGGTTTGCACGGTCGTTAAGGCATATACTATCTTTTCCCATCTTCTTCTCGTTTCCGTTCCTGTTCTCTTTTAACTGTTACCGTTTGGTTTTCTTTTTTGTTTACGGCGAGAGGTGTCTTGATTATACCTCGTAGCAAATCATTGGCATGGAGTTTGATTATAGGAATTTGTGGACTCGTTGGTTCCATCCACTGCCCACATGTAGTTTTGTGTTATTCATGCACTGTTTTTGCAAGTGTGTTCTTTGCCTCTTCACCCAAATAGTCATAGCTTGTTCTATTCAAAGGAGCTTTAATGATGGATGGTTAACCAACCTGCCCTCCCCAAAACCCGGCGAATGCAACCTAACATCAATCAATATTGGCACACCAGGGACAACATCTATGGAGGGAAGAATGGCCAGACTCATGCTTGGGATGGCTTTTTGTAACGTAGAGACGGTATGGAAACAGCGCATAAACCGGTCATGCTACCGCATTGTAGCCACCATGGCCGTTGGGCATGGTTAAGAAAAAAACGGAAGAGTTATATATACACGCTAGGCTAGTGAATAGTAATTCCATGCCTATCTGCTTTGGGAATCTACGTAGTTCCCGAGAGTCCCTAAGTTCGGAGATCGCGGGCAAGGAGGACGGGGTCCCTATGATTACCACTCGGAGACTTCACCTCTCTTGGGCTGCTGCATGCGCACAACCTTGTCACAGTTGAGGAGGCAGAGGGGATCGAACGCTTGCTTAATCTGGAACGGCAGGAAGTGTGTTGAAACAGGTGGTTAGCGGGTATTGTGCGCCACGGGGAAGGGGGTTCCATCTCGTTACCTTTCGCATGGCGTCTACGGTAGGTTCGCCGAGTTCATGAGGAAGATAGTCCCTCTTGACGAGGCCGACGCCGTGTTCGCCCTGTAGTGGTTGGTGGGAGGTGTTAGCGGGTGCGGCTAGTCAAATCACAGTACATCGCGGCGCGATTCAAGAAGAAGAAAGAGAGGGGCACATACCGTCACGGTTCCCTCGAGCTCGATGGCTCGTTTAACCATCTTGTGGACGACGCGTTCGGCTAGGGGCCGTTCTTTATCGCTATACATCAAGATGGCTATGGATGTGTATCTGGGAGTTAGTAACTTTCTTGAAGAAAAGAACAAAAGAAAGGGAAAAGAAAAAAGGTCAAAATAACTGACTGTGAAAGTTTCCGTCGCCAACATGGCCCACAATAGTACCGAACAAGCCGCTCTTGTTCATGTCCTCCTTGGTCTCTTCGATGATTTGAGGTAGGCGGCTCATGGGGACGGCGACGTCACCGGTCCAGACATGGTCGCCCTCCTTCTTGACGGCCATGGCGCTCCACAGGGCCTCTTTCCTAGCGCTCCAGAGGTCGTGCTGCTCCTCTTCGTTGCGGGCGAACTCAAAGGTCTTGGAGCCGACGGCGGAGGCGAGCTTCTTGACCTGGGCGACCTGCTCCTTGACGCCCTCGGAGGTGCCGGCGAACTTGAAGAAGAGGGTGGGGGCCTCGGTCCAGCGGCGCTGGGTCATGCCGGCCTCGTTGATGCACTTCATCTGGTTGTCGTCGAGGATCTCGATGGCGGCGATGGGGATACCGAGGCCGACGACGCGGGAGACGCAGTTGGCGGCGTCGCGGATGGAGGGGAAGGAGGCGACGGCGACGCTGGTATGGGCGGGCTTGACGGTGACCTTGAGGGTGGCTTCGGTGACGAGGCCGAGGGTGCCCTCGGAGCCGATGAAGAGCTTGGTGAGGTCGTAGCCGGCGGAGCTCTTGCGCGGCCGCTGGCGGGTCTTGATGACGGTGCCGTCGGCGAGGACGACGGTGAGGGACAGGACCCACTCGCGCATGGTGCCGTAGTGGTAGGCGTTGGTGCCGCTGCAGCCGGTGCCAATCATGCCGCCAATCATGGCACCCGGGCCCGGGTCGGGGGAAGAAGAGGTTCTCGGTGGCGAGGGTGTCGTTGAGGGCCTCCCAGCCGACGGCGGGCTGGACGACGACGTCGAGGTCGTCCTTGTGGAGGGAGAGGACCTTGTTCATGCGGCCAAAGTCGACGCAGACGCCGCCGCGGGTCGGGGTGAAGTGGCCCTCGAGGCTAGTGCCGCCGCTGAAGCCGACGACGGGGAGGCGGCGCTCGTGGCAGATTTTCATAATCTTGACACCTCCTCGGTGGTGGCGGGGTAGACGACGAGGAAGGGCTTCTCGCTGGGCTTCGCGGGGTGGGAGGACCACGCCGAGGTGGAGTGGTACTGGAGGTCGGTCTCGGCGGTGCTGACGTGCTCCTTGCCGACGATGGCGCCAAAGTCGGCCCAGGCGGCCTGCAGGTTCTCGACGTTGGCGCGGTGCTCGGGCGGCCGGGTCTTGTCGAGTGGGAGGGTGGAGTCGGTCTCGGGCGGGCGGGGGTAGAGCGTGCCTAGGTAGTATGAGACGCCGGTGGTGAAGAGGAGGGCTGTGGTGCGGAGGCAGGACAGGTTAGCGACGGCAATACACGCAAAAACATGAACAAAAAGGATATAAAAGAAGGATACGTACCGAAGGTCAAGCTCCACCTCGAGCTATCAGAGGCCTTTTGCCTGTGCTCCGACCACCTCTCCAACTCTTCCTTCTCCCTCTTCAAGCGGTGGGATATGCTCCCCATCATCTGCCCGCGGAAGGACCGGCCCGTCTTCTCCTCGTTGGACGGCGTGCGGTCCTTGCCTTCCATGTCGGATACGAACCGCGCCTGCTGCGCGCGGAGGAGCAGGAGCGGCTGCGCCGGTGCGATGTGAAAGCGCTGGAGGCGCGCGCAGCGGGCGCAAGGCCATCTGGGCGGGGCGTGACCGGAGGGTCATGGTCGTGAAGCTATTTCGCACAACCCGCGGAGGCGGGGGCCGGTGGCCTTTGTTGGGCAAAGGAGGAATGCGTTTCGATGTCTTGCGCAGAGAGGCAGGGTCGAGCGGAGAGTGTTCTCGCGCAAGCTTTCGCTTCGGTGAGGAGACGAGAGGGAGGGTCGGAGAAGAGGAAGCGGAGATTAGAAGAGAAAAAAGAGCCCAGGTCGCGCTGATACGTAGATCAATGGTCTAAAATAGCGGAATGGACAAGGAAAAACAAAAGGGCGACGGGGTCAATCTTGATCAATCTTAACAGCCCAGCAAAGAAAGAAGAAGAGAAGGTCCCGGGAAGTGTACACACGCCTGGTCGTGGAGAGCAGAGCGTAACTAGTTATACAGAGGAAGGGAAAAAAGAGAGCAGTCGAGAGAACCTCCCACCAGCAAAAGTTGCTGATGCTTTTTGGGGATTGTGCCAATGTCAAGGCGAGCAGGCTTCTTGGGAGCTGGCGCCACTTAGGTAATCAGACAGCGGGACGCTCTGGTTGGCTCGGTGGGGCAGCGTGCTGCACTACTTGACTACCTCTGTTGCGCTACTATTGCAGTCTGTATGCCGCTGTACCCCCTGTAACGGTTCTCAGCTGGTTGTTGCGGGTCTGTCAACCAACACCCTGGATTCGGGTTCTCGCGACTCCTTCTTTCCTTCCTCTTTCTTTCAACTCCTCCTCTTTTCTCGCGGGGCCAACCGGCATCATACTATATTCGCACAAGACTAGACTGAATAACTAGCCCGGTATGAGGGATACCCGTTCGCCGCAGGTCACCTCATCACCAACAGATGCGCCGGCATCGGCCCACTCCGGAAGGCTCGGCAGCCTCCGGCAGCAGTAGTCGTCCCCTGCATCACTTGTGCGCTTCGGGGAGGAGGTGGGAGAAGAGCGAAAACTCGCCCCCAAAAAATTATTGGATGGGAACGAAAAAGCAAGCATATGGCCCTAGGCGAATACCGAAACACTAGATGCAATGGAAAAAGAAGAACAAATGAAGAAAAGGAAAAGAACAGAAAAAAGACCCAATGGGAAGCAAAGGACGATTCTCACGCCAGACTGCCACGGCGGCTTCCGAGTAGCCTCCGGCTCAACCCGCCCGCAAGTGACCCATATTGCCCCCGACAAACCGGGGGTAGGAAGCGAAGAAGGAGAGTCACGGGCAACCTGCGCGAGAGCGAAGACTTCAATTTTTGACATGCTGCACCTATTGGCGCGTCTAATTGGTATCGGAATTCTCCTAGCCCGTGGTTTTGTACAAGTAGGTCCCGGCGCTCTCGAATGCAGAGTGTCCCTGTAAAACGATCATGGATCGATTGATGTGATTTTTTCATTCGCCCAGCTAGCCTCGGACGTCGACTTCATGATTTGATTGAATAAAATGAGCCCAAGGAAAAAAAAAAAAAAAAAAGTGATTGATCTGAAGCGTCGTCTACCGGGCAAGGGTACGAAAGAGGCAATGGATGGCAAAATCGAGGCTCTTGCTACTCATGCATGGATGAGGCCACCTCGGCAGCCGCATGCATCGGCTGCCCGTCTCGCTGGGGAAGTCAGCGCTTTCCGCTGGGACCCCGTAGCCAAGACAGAAAAGGAAGAGAAAGGGGATGGTGAGAAAGGCAAAGTCTAGAAAGTCGGCACCTGAATTAAAGCAACAAACACGCTACTTGGCAAAAGCAGTAGGTCGGTCCACTACGAGTCTATCGGCGCCACCTTGTGTCTATCGCACACAGCTCTGTCCTCCCTGATACATTATTACAAGCGGGCCGTTCTAGCCGCAATTGCCGTCATGGCCGTACTCCGCGATCGTGATCTCAGTTCGTGAACGTGATGCCTCTTTCCTAGGCTCTCATCCCCCATTCTTTCCTCTTCTTGCACTTCCACTTCTTCTTCCCCTCCCCGAATGTGCTCTGCGCCATGTCCACGTTGATAAGCGCAAAATGTAAGTACAAAATGTGACTATATGTGCCAGGTATCTACCATTCGTCTCCCGAAATCACTCACCTCTACGAGGGGCGATACTTCCACGCGTTTGGATCAAAGATAACATCGAAGGCGACGTGGTTAAACGAGCCGATGGCGCACCCCAAGTCGTGATAGCCCTCCAGGCCAGTAACGGGAAGGATCACGTCGGAATCTTGCTCCTCGTGGAGGTTCCACTCGCCGTCAACCACACCGTTCCTGGTAAAGAAGCAGGTGGTGATGATGCGGCCCTCGACAGGCTCAAACGTCATACCGACACCGTACGTGTCGCCCCTCTTGAAGGGCGCGGTAAAGGACTGCCCGCCCCACGTGTCGTTTACGTACCTGTGGCCGTCATCGCCGTGGATGGCCATGCTGCCACGGTGCCAGCCGGGAAGCCGGAAGTTGGGATAGGGCAGCGCAGTGAAACCAAGGGCCAGCGAGGTCTCGTCGCGGCGGCTGTCGTTGCGGACATGCACCTCGTAGTACACCGTGTGCTTCCTACCGCTCGCGAGCGGCGAGTGCAGCGTCACGGCGTAGAGCGGGGGTAGCTGATGAGGCAGCTGTCGGGCGCGGTGCGCGGGGTGCGGCACTCCCACTGGCCCGCGGCCCTCTGGTGGAGCTCGCCCGTGAAGCCCCAGGGCTGCATCAGGCGGATGTTGTGCGTCTGGAGCGCGGCGAGGGCCGGGGTCCAGGGTGATGGGCGGGGTCAGCGGGTATTGCTGGCACCATTGGGCACCGCGCTCCGCCTCCTCCTCCGTCGCGTTGTTAGCGGGGCTCCGATCCCAGCCGCTGAAGAAGGCCGGGGGCGGCGGGAAGAGGGAGGTGTCGGGGACGGCGATTTCCCAGTCATGCTGAGGTTTGGGATCTTTGGGAGGCGGTCCCGCCGGAGGGGCGTAGTCCTGGCCGGGAGGGGGCCGGGAGGGGCGCATATTGGTCTTGATGATGCTGGGCATGGGACGGCGGCGCGCCGGGAGGAGGGGCGTATTGGTCCTGGTGCTGCGCGTGCGACGGGGTGCGCCAGGCGGGGGTGCGTATTGGTCCTGGCGCTGTGCATCGGCCGGAGGCGGGCCGGGAGGAGGTGCGTATTGGGTCTGCTGCTGGGAAACTTGAGGCGGGGAGGGCCTGTCGGGGGCGCATATTGGCCTTGGGGTTGTGAGTGGGAAGGAGGGGCGCCCTGGGGAGGAGCGTAGTAGGGTTGAGGCGACTGCGAAGGCGGGGGCCCGTCGGAGGCGCGTACTGTTGTTGCTGTTGCTGCTGCTGCGGAGGGTATGAGGCCTTGGAGTCGTGGGCCATGGTGGAAGAAGCACCGTTCGCCGGCCTAGGCGCGAGGTTCTCGCCGGAATCTTTTTCGCTGGAGCCGAAGCACATGTCGTCTGTTTTGAGTCACCGATTTCTTTTGGCTGCTTAGCTTGTTACCAGCTATGTTTGTTTCGCCAACCCGAATTGATTCGCGCTTCGTTACAGAGGCGAGAAACGTCGCGGATGGATATTGGAAAAAGTCGCCGTGGTTGAGGACGATGATGGTGTAGAAGCTTGATGAACACAGAGTAATTGAAGTCGTCTTCTAGCAATTAACGATTGAATTGCTTTGGATCGGGTGCTGTCTTCTTTATCTAGCACAGGAATTAAGGGGTGGCAAAGACGGAAGAAGGTGAGGAGATGTTTGGCCTACGTTAGGAGTTGAGAAGAGGAAGGAGCTAGGTAAATAGTTTATTCATATTGGGGGTTCGTGCCTCTCTACCTCACTTACCCCCTTGATGGAAACAATGGACCCGTCGATCAATTAAATATCCATTGATCCCTTCATTCTTCATTCATACCAATGCAGGACAGGTCGACACCAGCCGGATTAGGGGTATTATTATGGGCCAATAGCCGAGCGAGAGAAGAAAACGGCCCCCAAATGTGCGTAATACGTGGCTGTGCTAGCTTCATGTGCTGAAGTAAAAGAAACCCGTCTTGTCATTTGGTGTGCCAAGTGTAGTCAAGGTCGCCTATGGATGCCTACGTACGAAGTATCCATTTACACTGAACAGATAGATCCCTTCTACCTTGGTATACGCTGGTTGATGGATATACGTTTGCAATTCAGTACCAAGAAATGAGAGAAAATTCTAGTATTGATTTCATCATTGATGTCGTCTCTATTTTTGGGTATGGAAGCTTTGTGCTCGTTGAAGTCGATTACTGGAAATTACAGCACAGGGCATAGCTCCACGAGTCGGCCGTGCGGAGGTCAGGGTCCTCCAGGGCAATGATCATTGATTGCCCAGCTATTGCTTGAGCCGTGAGCACAGCTCAACTGAATCAGCACTCCATCGCCCGCGAGGATTCGAGCTTCTGTCCCCGCCAACCCCCTGTAGGTACATCGATTTAGTACCCACACATGAACTGACGCACCAGGGCGGCGTCTCACGCTTGCTTGCGGCCTTCAAAGGCGATTGAGGCAGCCCTCACCCATCCCATCAACATCTGGAAGAACGGGAATGAGTTGATGACCAGCAAAGCCACCTGTGCCTCCAAAAGGCCCACGTCATTCGCCTGACTTTATAGTTAACCTGATTCCCCGAGCTTACCATCCGCCCTTCCCCAGGTATTTGTCACCAGATCCCTCCCCTCGCTCATGCTCTGTCGTCCTCTTTGGGATTTAGTCCGCCAAGACGATCCAGGGCAAGCAATTCCATCCTCGGTTATGTCCATAACAATACTCAGCTGCCAGGCCAGAGGCCACAAATGCCTCGTGGCTTGGCTGGGCTGCGTGTGGGGTCTTGCTGCGAAGCTCGAGTACTCCACGAATACGACGGCTCCACGGATGGATGGAGCTAGTTGTTTGTTGGCGCTGCCATCGATGGATGTATCACCAAGTATTTGCATTTCCTTCGATATACTTGATCGAGTTTTGCTTCTGAAGTAGGCCGGAGCGCTACTACATAGAGCTATGTTTCCGCGCTGAGAACAAAAATCAACTGCGTTCGATTGCCTCGTCTAAAGTTGAGATTGAGGTAACGCTAAAAAACACACTAGTGGTCATCGCGCGCGCCCTTTTCGGGCCCGTGAGTCTAAACCAACTTAGGTGGAGCCTTGGCACTATTCTGGTAACTTCCCCATCGAGAAGAGTCGGTGCCTTGTCCAGCCTGTTATGCATTTGCAAGATTTGAAGAGTGCAAAATAGGCAAGCTCTAAGGAGGGTAATAGAAACCCCCTTTGCCTTCTTCCAAAGCAGAACTATTTCGTAGAACGAAAGATGGCGAAGTCGGATCTTTGCGATGCGTAGGAGGCCGTGATTTCAACAGCCACAGCTTACATTGCCCGTACACCCCTCAACTTTAGGGTCCAAAGCAATTAACCCGTCCCGTCAGCATTACTTACCAAGCGAAAGTTGAAAAAGGGTCCAACAGAACAGCCCCCTCTTTGTGTCCCCATCCATAGTGTAGACAGTCAGCGGCGTAGCTAAATCGCACAAGTGACTAGATGAGGATGATGTGACTCTTCAAACCCATCGGAGGCATATGGAAAGCCTGTGTGCCATGCATCTAGAAGGAAAATTGGCTGAATCGAAGTCAAATTTGAATCAAACTAATAGTGTAGCGGTGACGCCCTTCGTGTAAGTTGGCTCCCGTCTCGACACGCCTTGCTCTATCCAACCTCTCCCATTCTAAGATATCAAGGCCCTCTGGACCTGCTTCCTTTGGCTAAACCGGTACCTCGGATACCGACCCTCGACTCTGAAATGGCACCCTTTCCCCCTCAGGATGGCGAGGGAGAAAACAAGAAAATAGAAGTATATACATATACACACGTGTCAAACACCCACATGTATGAATCCTCGCAGGAACCCCTCGCTTCGGGTCCATACTCCTTCCAAGCCGACTCTCCTTTTCGTCTCCTCCTCTTTTCGGAAACTGGCGGTAGCATTACTTGAGCATGAGCCAGCGCCTTATAACAGCATGGTGGCCAACTCACTGTTACCCCCAAGCTCGCTCGCGTCCTTAACATTAGGATAGTAAAAGGCCACCACGCTAATGATGGCGTACGTGCACATGAGCAGCGCACCCTCGAGGTAGTTACTCCTACCATCCAGCACGAGGAAGTTGACGATAAAGGCCGAGACAAAGAGACAAACCGTCTCGAAGAGCGTAAAGTAAAGCGTCATCTCCTTTTGCATGCACCAGCCCAGAATCACCACCAGCGGCGTGACAAAGAGCGCAATCTGAATCGAGCTGCCCACGGCCACGCCGATAGCCAAGTCCATCTTGTTCTTCATCGCCACCGTAATGGCCGTCACATGTTCCGCCGCGTTGCCCACCACCGGCAGGATGATGAGGCCGATGAAGGCTTCGCGGATGGCGCCGCCCTCCACCACCTCCTCGATCGAGCCCACCACAAACTCGGCGCACAGCGCCACCAGGGCCGTCGACACAAGGAGCAGCACGACCGACGCCACCGTCGACAGTCGGTCCTCGGGAATCCGTCCTGCGCCCCCTCCGCCCCGTTGCCGCCGGTCAGCGCCATCAGGGGCACGTGCGCGGGAGGCATGGCTCCGCCACCCGGTGCGGCGCGGGGTACGATTGGTTGAGACGGTCGGGGAGCGAGTTGGTGCGGCGGATGCCGTAGCGCACGCGCGGGACGGGTCCAGGCAGGGGCGTCATCTCCCTGCCGAAGGGCCCTGTACCAGAACCGGCGCGAGGCTTCGGACGTTCTTGACCGATACGTGCCGGAGGGCAAACGGCCGACGGCTAGCACTGGGGTGAGGTGGCCGCCCTCGCTCGCACGGCGCAGTCCATCGTCGTCGGGAACAGCGAAATCCACGCGCCGCGTGTCGTTTTCTCCAGCGATCGCCTCATCCGCGGCGGCCGTCGGGACGGCGCCACCAGCAGCCGCAGCCGCGGCAGCTTCCGCATCTCGGGCCTCCTTCTCCGCCTGCTTGCGTTTGCTCTTGTGCTTGTGGCTTCGCTTCCGTCGGATATGGCGACGCCGGCGCTTCGTCGGGGCTTCGTCTTCGCTGCTATCATCCACTATGGCCAGTTTGCCGCCGGATTGGCTCGCCTCTCCGACCGCGGCAGCAGCGGCAAGCTTCCTGCTCTTGGCGGTCCTCTTGCTGTTGGCGGTGCCCTCCGAATCGGACGAGCTCGAGCTGGAGCTGGACCTTCGCGCGCGTCGAATGGCCTTCTTCATCTTCTTGCGCACTGTGGGGTTTGAGTCACTGGAATCGTCCGAGGAAGAAGATGACGATGACGAGCTCGAGTCCGAGCTTGACGTGTCAAGCCAGGCGGCGGCGGGACCGGGAGTAGATTCAGCATCAACGATGTGCTGGGGCGTAGATTCGTACATGTACGAATGCGACTTCAGCTGGAAAAGCAGGTACACGAGGTACACGAGGAGCAAAATCTACACAAGGTATTAGTTATATTCATAGGCTAGTGATTGACAAGGGGGAGATGGAGAAAGAAACCGCGATTTGGACAAGGAGGAGTGGCAAGGCTACTTACAATACTGCAGATGCGGCTGATCTTTAAGGATTCATCATCAGCCAGTGCCATATCGCTGAATGAGGCATGGAAGGCAGTCTATGTTGATCATATTAGCAATCGATTTTTTTCTTCCCTTTTTCCCAACCCCAGCAATTGCTAGTTTAGCAGTGTAGTAGTCTTACCGGAAGCACGAGGCTGATAACGCTCAAACTGAGCAGACACGCGCTCATCTGCGTTACGGTAGAATTATAGATCTAGCACACGTGGAAAGAGACAAGGGTTAGCTTAAACAGTCGTTTCCCCCAGCGGACAATGCGTGGAACCCATACCTGTTCGCGGAACCGGAGACCGCCAAGGAAGAAGCACATGCCAAGAATCAGCAGCAAGTTCGCCAATATCGAGCCCAGGAGCGACGCTTGAACGATGCGTATTTGATTCTACCCGCAAAAAAGTAGGTTAGTATTTCTTTTTCTTACTCCATGCCTACTCAGAAGCCCACCATCTCTAGAGGATATTTACCTTTGTTAAAGCGATACTGTGGGCAGGAAAGAGAGAGAGAAACGAGTTTGTTAGTCAAGCGTTCCACCCTGCAAAAGCCAAGCCGCCATTCACTCTTGGCACCCGCCACGACCACCTTTTTCAACCTCATTCCATTCGAGACAAAAGACGGAGATAAGAAGAGAAGCTTACATGCTATAGACTCATGTTAGCAGGCATTTCAACATATGGCGACACATCTATCTCAATTGAGATGGCAGGAAGGGGGAAGGCGAAGAAAAGCCCAAGGGAATTTGCACGCACAAGATAATTAACTCGACCGCGTTACCAAAAGTAACATTTAGCAGTGCGCCGACGGTATCGCCCAACTTCACGGCCACGGATTCGGTCGCGTGGCTCAGCAAACCCGCCAGCGGTACAATGGCGATACAATTGATGGCGAAGACCACCCCGCCGTGTATCCCCGGCACGTACTCCACGGCAATACCGACGGGGACGAAGATTAGCAGGACATTGACCCAGCTATGGAACATGATGAGCCTGCAGTTGCGAACGAAGCGCTGGATCAGCGTCCTCTTCGGAGCGCCATCCCCATCTCCGCCGGACGACTGCTGCCCGTCGCCGGAGGGTGCTGGGTCCCGGCCGCCTTCGGTCTTGACGGCGGTGGTTCCTGGCTAATTGACGCGGTGTGGTCTAGGCCGCCATTCGTGGTCGCGCCCGTCTTCTTCTCTTGAGAAGCGCGGTTCGAGGCCGCGTTGGCGGTGGAGGATGTCGCGTCGCCATTGATTATCGTCGCGGAGTGGTCGCGCGGGTCAATCTGATCCGAGTATCGGGGAAGGACGGGCTCATCGTGAGACCTGCGAAAGAGGCCGCTCGCTTTCGAGAATAGGCTTGGCTGGGCGCCGGGATTAGTCGCGTCGCCTAAAGGTTCCTTCATCGAAGTTCGGCGGGGATTTCCTTCGAAGAAAAAAAAAGAAAAAGAAAGGCACGTGTTAGGTGATGCTGGCTCGTGTTGCTGCTCAAGGTACAGTTGCTTGTGTATAAGGCGGGAATAGCAAGCCGGGAGGATCAATTGTTTTTGAAATAAGATTGTAAGGGAGGACAAACGCGCGGCGAGCGGACTGGGACTATAAAAGGTATGTGAGTGAAGGAAGGAAAGAGCAGGGAAGGCGCGAGAGATCGTGGGAGGAGAAGTCCCGAGCAAATTGAATCGGGGAAGGATTTTAATAAGGTTAGAGAGACAGAATCTTCAATGTTCCTTCACGTTATATTATGACAATCAAAATTGACAATGGCTTGGAGACGGAGACTTGGATGAATTGGCTCGAGGGTGGATTTAGCGTGTCTTTCCCTTGTCCGTTATTCGGATCACCTCCGTCACGATTAATTTCTTTTTTCCTCTTCCCTTTTGCTGCTGTATTCTATTAAGGATTCCCTACCGAACTGGTTTCCAACTCAGTTCCTCGTTAAAAACTTGTAAAGGGTGAGCCCAAACCCCCTTTCGACGAGAAATTCGCACGTAGTTTGCGCCTTCCAGTTCATACTATCGCCACACTTCCCTTAACACCGACGTATATGTGGGTATCGTGGACGGAGTCTCTGCCAGTTTAACCTTCCTTCCTACATGTGGCTCGGCTATTCCCAACGCAAAAGAAGTCAATTGCATCAGTTTTGGGTACATGCAAGCTTCTCCAGCATTTGCCTCGCCCAGTAGAAGGGATCGGATCCCCTTGGGCAGCTCCACGTCGGAAGCTGTCCCAGTTTCCTCCCCGCCGCGAGCGAGTGGAGCCAGGTTTGCGCCCAAACCTTCCACTAAGGAGTACATTGCATTATTTGTCTTTCTCAATCGGTCAATCATCTCCTTGCTTCAGCCGCATTTCGCTGGGCTGGCAATCGATGTGCTCCGTGACGTCGTTCCAACCGTGCAGCCGTGCTCCATCTGAGTCGTTACTACGTACATGTATTTCCCCCGCCCATCGCAAGTGAGGATGTATCCAGTTTGCCAGCCATCCATCGATGACATCACTCTTGGAACACCCAGGACGCGACAAACGCACGGCGAAGAAGGGGTTACGCGAGGGTGAGTAAACAAATTACGGAGGGTAAAGAACGGCTCGACGCCAAGACCGGCAAAAGCCTGCAAGAAGAGAAGATGGGGAAATTTCGAGAACCTCGACGGCGAGGACAAGAGCCAGGCATGTTCCGAATTCTGGCCCTCAACCAATCCTGCGAGGATAATTTCGTTCAAGTTGTATATTCAATTATCCATCCATTCTTTCCCTTGTACGCACGGAGCCGTCGTGCGCCTATCTTAAAAAGACAAAAATATTACACCATAGAGCTGCCCACCTTCATGGTAGCCAAGGGAGCGCGCGGACACGGCGGAGAAAACCGTTACATCTCAGTGAGACATCGCTAGAACATCGCCATAGTCGGCAAGGAGAAGAAGAGGGGGCCAAAGAGGAAAAAGTCTACGATTAACCATGCCTTCAAGCTTGTGACTACACGTAGCGACCGCCGCCGAGCGCTCCTCGGTTTCCTAACCTAGGCAGGTCCTTAGACCACAGCAACACGGAAACTTGATCAAACCTGCCTTTTGGTGCCTTCTATTATAAAAGGAGGGGCAAAGAAAAAGGGCCGTACGTAGCTGCTCTTTGTCGGTTCCCAATTGATCAAGAAGTCTTCTACTATCTCTGTGCAAGCTCTCGAAAAAGAAATACTAGGCGGAGAAGCAAGATCGCAAAAGATATACAAAAATAAGCCCAAGTGAAATAAACTTGGCCCCTCTGCCACGGCAAAACAAAGCTCACAAAATGATTCAAACTTCCCGCGGCTCTGGAATCTCATGGAGAACAATTCAAAAGTAATGCTGTCAAAAAGCATGTGACGATTATAAAGACCAAGGTATCTGAAATGAACATGATGTCTGAACCACAGGGTACATGTAGGAAGCTATCAATATTAGAAGGTGGGAGGAGGGGTGAGTAGATAGGTAGTGAGATAGATGGATATGCATAAAAATAGAGGAGTCTCCGCTTGCCTGCCAACCGCCAGAGCAAGGCAGCCGACAGCAAGGGAAAAGTGAAATAACAGGACCATGCAATAACAAAGCCGAAAGTCGAGGAGCAAACATAGCATAAAGAGCTATGTCCAGGACGCCATAAAACGCCACAGCGTGGTCCTTGTATCCTTGGCCGGGTGTGAGCAGATGATAAGTAACCTGCCTCCTTGTTCCGGCCTAACTTCAGTCTATGGCCGTGAGATGAGAATGCCAATATTGCGCCGCCAATCTGTGAGCACTCTGAGCACACGCACAAGTGAACCCCCGCGGCATTAGGTGGGAAATGAGAGGGGGCGGGGAGAAAGAAGAAAAAAAGTGACAAAATGTGCAACACGACGTAGGAAAAAGGCAAGACCAAAGACACGAGAGTTCCCAATCCGTTGGCGCCCATCCCCAGCGGACCATATCATATCCATCCTCGACATCTCAAGGTCCTTTCCACCAAATAGCATGGTGTGAGATAGCCGGGTTATTTGTCCCCATTAGCCCCAAGTCAAAATTGTCATCTAACGGGGCTGGGCTTTAGCGATCGTCCCCGGCGCGAGCCTTGCCGCGCCTTCGGAAGATGTCCATAACCCTGCGGGCGGCTCCTACTGATGCCTTCTGGCCACCGGGATAATCATCGTAAGCATCAGCAAATCGCTTGTTCTTTTGCAGCACCTTGGTGCCCTTCGCATTGCCCGCAAATCGCCGTCCATCAAAGCTGTCCGGCTCCGAGAAACCCGCTTGGTAATGAAGCCCGGCTGCTTGGGAATTCTGGGCCCGATGCACGTCGATCGATGACTCGGACCCTGTATTGAGGATTGACGAGTGCTGCTGAATATAAGGAGGGATAGCATTCGGTCTCCGGTCGTATGGGTCTGGTGCGTAGCGCGGGCTTTGGGCTTGGCCCGACGCCGAGACCTGGGACTGGTTACGATAGGCAGCCTCGGCCTCTTGTTGCCGGCGGGTGAGCATCTCATTATAGATGGGGGTGTTGCGCTGCCCGCCCCGGCTCTCCGTCTGACCTTGACGGTCAGGCCCGGGATGGATAGGGAGCGACTGGTGCGAATTTCGGTCCGACCCCAATCCAATAGCCTTGGTGAGTGAAGGGATGAGAGAAAAGCGGCGAGTGTGCTTCTCCTGGGAGTGGTGCGAGCCGCTCATGCTGCCGCTACGTTTCCGGCCGAGTCCTAGAGAGAAGGATCGCCGTGATTGCCTAGAATCCATCGATTGACGAGGCTCATCGCCGCCGCCGCCAAGCGCCATCGAATTGGCCATGCTGATGGGCGGGTACTTCCGGCTGTTCTTCTCTGCGGGAGGCGAAGCTGGCTGGGCGTTGCTGGGAGCGCCCGAAGTCGTGACGGAATCCTGACGTCTGCGGCTCTTGCCGAAGAGAGATCCACTTCGCCCCAGGAGCTTCGCGCTGATATCGCCAATTGTGCTTGATCTCTTGTGGCCTTTGCCCTCGTGACCTTGGCCGGGCCCGGCATCGGTAAATCCGGAAACCCTAGCAAACTTGGACGGCACGCTCGGCCGGCCGGCTCCATGTTCGTCCACCTCCTCGCCGGGATTGGCTGGCTGCTGAATGCGTCCATGGACGTTGGTTCCCGCGACGGCAGGTGGCGCCGGTTGGCCGTAAGCGTTCCGGCCCGTAGCCGTGAAGCCCAAGGATGCCGAAGACTGAATGGAACCTTGTGTACGAGGGCGTGCGTGAGCAGGATCTGTCAGGGTGGCACCGGCGAGATACGCGTCTTCGGGTCGGGGATCGCGAACCGGACGTGTTGGGCCGGCTCCGGGTTGCTGTCGGTGAGCAGAGGGCGGGCCGCCCCTTGACGACTTGGCGACAGGGGGATCTTGGGGCAAAGGCTTCTCCTTGGGGGATGACGTGCCAATAGGAGCTGCAGCGGCTGTATTGCTTGGCTGGCCACGGGACTTGCTGGAAACCACATATTCGCCACGCTGCGTCTGGGTGGTTGGAGCAACATATTCGACCTGTACCGTCCGACGCTTGGCATCTTTCTGCGCCTTTACTGCTGCCACTGCGGCCTCGTCGGCATCGATATGACCATGCTTGGCCGTCAAGCCCCCAACGGTCGAGGCAGCCGCGGCTGTTTTAGGCTTCGATGCGTCGCGTAGGGAGGCGCTTCGTGCGATACCAGGCCCGTCGGTGTCATCCTCGGCAGGCACTGTTGTGTTTTGGATGTCGGCGGGCGTTGTCGTGCTGCTCGTAATGATCCTAACGACATTGGCATACTCGCTCAACCAACTATGGCGAGCTACTTCGAATAAATCGGCACGCCGTCGAGGGTTGGCAACAAGAATCCGCTTGAGCAAGTCGCGTGCATGAGGCGATACGTATTCGGGGAATGTGAGTGGGGTGTTGACAATGTACTTGTACAATAGATTGATATTGTCACCCTCAGGGTTTGCCGGGTCATCGTCAAACGGGAGGTATCCCGCCAGCATTGCGTACTAGAGAACAACTCGTCAGTCAAAGCTCATCACTCTTGGGAGAGCCACGGGGATACAACAGAGGAGGCCTTACCAGAATGACGCCGCAGCTCCATACGTCCACCTTCCTGCCAGTGTAGAGGGAGTCGCTAACAACCAGCTCGGGGGCAGCATAGCAGGGACTACCGCAGCTTGTCTGCATCAAATCACCCCGGCGGGTTCCATTGGACTTTATCTTGTCAAGACCAATCCTCTTAACAAACTCGCGGTCACTCAGGTTAAGCTCCTCCTCTTCGCTCAACTCGTCCTTGGGGTCGAAAATGTTGGCAAATCCGAAGTCGGTGATAATGATGTTCTTGTTCCGGTCCAAAAGAAGATTTTCGAGTTTCAAATCGCGATGTACAATGCCTTTCTTATGAAGATAGCCGACACCCGAGATGAGTTGGGCGAAAAGTCGTCGGGCAGCATTATCTTTGAGGTATCGGTGATTGAGGATATAATCAAAGAGTTCTCCGCCGGAAGCGTATTCGAGGACAATGCCAATACGGCTGTCGTCGCCAATCATGTCGTGAAGATGGACAATGTTGGGATGGGACAGGCCGCGGAGGATATTAACTTCGCGGTGGATCTTCGCGAGTCTCGATGGATTGTTGCCGAGACTCTCTTTCTTGATAATTTTGATAGCAACCTAATTGCCACGAGGGTGTCGGTCAGTACAAAATAAAGTTGCGATAGCCGGCTTGGGGGTCATCAATACGAACCTGAACTCTATCATCCTGTTTCCAGCCAAGGCGAACTTTCCCAAACTCTCCTTCGCCAATCACATTGCCGAGGATGTAGTCACCAAACTTGATGTTCTTATCCCGCTTTTGCATCCGTCCGTCGTGTCGGCTTCGCGTACCGCGACGCGACTGATCAGTGTATTCGCCCATGCCGACCACAGGGGGCGCAGCTTCATCGCCATAAGCATTCATCTCAGCTGCCGGTGGTTCGTGAGGTGCAACTGGCTTCGATGGAGTTGCCGTCGAGGGCCCCGTACGGCCATCCCGGCTGCTGCTCACGCGTTCGGGCGGCTCTTGGGCCATTTGTTGATGTCTACGGCGATTAGAGCTTCTGGAGTCCTCGGCAGAAGTGTCGACATTGCCATTAGCGGCACGGGAGGTTTCAGCATAACGACCATTCTTTGGCGAGGCAGTGGCACGGTCGTTGGGAGGCATTCCGCGTCTTTGGTTCTCCGAGGCAGATTGTGGATTAGATGAAGAGGTGCGAGGAGGGGCAACGGGTGGTTGATTGCGCCTTCGGTCACTGTTGTGTGATTGATAATCCGCGCCCGGGGCTGCGGACTGCACCGATGTAGTAACGGCTGTTCTTGAAGACATCATGGGTGAATCAAGTGCGGGCTGTGAATGATGCGGCGAGGCGGCCGGGTTTGACGGGACGACTCCGAAATCGTTGCCGCCACGGGCACGAGAAGCACGATTCGACGACGCGGGTGAAGCAGACGATGTTATGTGCTGATTCGCATTGTAGGCCTCTCTTCGAGGGGATGAATGTGCGGACATGTAATGATGGCCGGTTGCGATCAACGGTGAGTTCGTGATGTTTGAGGACTGACGGGGTGGCGTTTGCACAGCTGTGGACATCCTCTGTTTAGAAACTACAACCTTCCTGGGCCTGGCTTGGCGGTTTCCCAAGGGTTGTGGGTATTGATCTTACGGGCCTGGCGTAGCACAGTGGTTGGTATTTGATGAGTTTAGGCGTGTCGCCGTGCTTGCACAATCTCGGGGGTGCAAGAAGAGATGGATGTGAGCAAGAAGGGTAGGGTTTTGTCGAGGGCAAAAGGTCGACGAGGGATGAGTCTCGATTACTCGCTGACAATAAGATGTATATTCGGGCAGCTAGATGGCGGGCGGAAATTAAAGCTCGGCTGCGTAATCTTTGATGCTGTTAGAACGGAGAATGCACAATCAGTCTGGCACCCAAGGCTTTTGATTGACACAAGAACTGTATCAACCTTGGAAAGGGCCACGGAGAAAATGAAGGGCTGACGAAAGAATAAAATTGACCATACCAATCAGCTTGAGCAAACTATTTGCATGGTGTGGCCGGTTTCTTTGGCTGCGACAAGTCCACGCTGATACCTCGAGAGTTCGGGGCACGAGGGAAGTCAGGGGCGGAAGCTGGCTGGGATCTTGCGGCACGCTGGGTAGCACACCGAGGGAAATAAAGATCCAACTTGAAGTCAGCCTCTCCTCCTCTGCGTTTTGAGAGCGACGATGAAGGCCCGGATTGATTTGGCTCTTTGCTTTGATACGCGACGGAATCTGGCGTTCTGCGTCGGACAGGTCCCAGATTGTGAGGGTTAAAAGACAGTCCCGTCAGGCTGTGGCCAAGCGTGCGTAAGGGGTCAAAGGACGAACAGTAGCAGGCGTCGCGAGTAGTGTCGTGTTGTTGGCGGTGAGAAATGGCGACTGGTGATAGGATAGCAGTGGCGCGGTTTTTTCGTTTCTGCGCAAGGATGCGTACGAGAAAGGCCGGTCGCGTTCGACACTCCAAACGTCCGTTGACGATTGTGCTGATGCTACAGATGAGCAAATTCAACAATGCGAACAGCAACAAAGTAGAAACCGGGGAATGCGCGCTGAGAATCGAGGAAAAGGAAAACAACAAGAAGGGAAGATCCAATTCTCCACCAAGGGGCCCAGAGTGGACGATGGGGAAAGGGGAGAGAGAAAGGATGACACGCTGGGACCGATGCCGAGCGAGTCTGGAGATTAGAGGAGAGGGAGTTGGACGAGGAAGGGTGGGTAGGGGAAGGAAGGAGCGGGAGTGGGCAGGAGTCAAACACCACACGGCCAACGCCAATTTGATTTACCCAAAGCGTCCAATTGGATTTGATGGCCAGAGGCTCTGCTCTGTGCGCATGGAGTTTTTAGCACATTTTGATAGACGCTGTACGAAATTGCGAGCGAACACCACACTGTTAGACGGCCCTGAACAGCTGTGAGTTGTTCGGGCCCAGCGAGAAATTACATTGATCAAACGTGCGGACACCATCACTGGGGTGGCACCAAAGCCGAAAACGAAATTTGCCAGGAAAGGAGGGAAGAAAAACAAAAAAAAAAAAAAAAAAAGGGAAAAAAACGAAGACAAAAAGAAATCCCCCTCCCACAACCTATCTCAAAGCTCAAGTCAATCATCTCGGCTCTCTAATATCATTGAACGAGGACGCAAAAGTCGTCAATGATCAACGACATGCAATAGACGAACGCTCAAGGTGCGATGCATGCTGTGACATATGTCTCCGAGCTCAGCGTGTCTCAACTTCGACAGACGGCCGCCATCACCAAGGCAGTTCGCCAACTCATTGGAAATGATGTTGTAACTTGTACCTCGATGTGACCCTTCAGGGATCCCTGTGCTCCGTCTCAGACGAAGGCCAAGAGGGACGGGTTCAAGCTGGGAAAGGTGGGTTCGCGTTGTCAGGCTAGGATGCTACAGGTACCTGATACTTAAATTGCATGTTTGCCCTCGCATATACGTAGGTATCACCTACTTTGTGTCTCGTCTGCAACCTTTTTCGGAGGTCCCGACGGCCAGTCGTGAAAGGTGCAGGGGATCCAGAGTGTCCCCAGACCAAGTGTCAGGGATGATAGCTATGAGCTCGTCCTTCATAATAATTCCCCTTCAAGACGATATTTTGTTCGAATGAAGGGGCCACAGACAGTCTTCCAGCGCCCCAGAAGAGGATCGAGGCAATAACCTAATCCAAGTATCAATTGGCGGAGAGGTAAGTCTGATACGCATCTTCAGAATTATGGCGCATAATTCCGCGGGTCCCTATGCATGTCGACATTAAATGGATCCAATGGATCAATCAATGGATCTAGTATCCACAATTGCGCAGTGCTCTCCAGTGCGGTCCTCATCATCACCACGGTTTTCAATGTCCCATTCCAGTGCATGAAATGGTCGAACGGCTGACGGGGTGCGTGGGGCAGATGAACGAGGTTGAGCCCAGTGTTAGCCGGCATCGTTGAAGCATCCATACAATGATGGCATCGCCGGCCGAGGTAGATCCATCCAGGTTTATAATATTAGTTGGATGGACGGATGTGGACGAACATGGTCACCTCCCGCCTGAAAGAATCCGTGATAATGATATCAAGATCCACCGAGTCTAGTCGAACCCATACTTGGATAGACGGCATAGTTGATATTGACGCTTGTGCTGGACGGACCCTCGACAACATCGTTTGTCAAGGTTGGTCCAAACTGTGTTGTCTACGTGCATGCGGTGAGGGTGATGTGATATCCCCGAACCTTTTTTCCTTTCTTCCTTTTTCCTTCTTCCAAGTTGCAGACTCATTCTTGCCCAGGGTCTCCCAGAAGCATGTTGGACGATGGTGCCTGACAGATTCGATCAATGTTTCTTCCTCCCCCACCCTGTTAATGCATGGGGCAAGGACGAAGGGTCAATGTACAAAGTACTTGCCATGGTGCCTGACTTTTGAACCAAGTTCCGTTGCATTGGCTTACCGAAAGGAGAAGGGACAGGGATAAGAGAATGCAGCGACGAACGGAGAGCTTATTACGAGGAACAGGGGTTCAAAGCACGAGACCGATTCTATTCCTGGTATTCCGCTTGTCGAGAGCAGCATTAATTGTTATCATCACCCATCAACGAGTTAGCGAGGCCTCGGCAGGCTCTACTCGTGCTTTTGTCAGACTGAAAGGGTGACTTACCTCGGGCACACACTACCAGCTCTCGAGAAAGACATGTTGGATAGCTGTGTCAGTGTTTCAAAGGCCTCCGCTTTCTCCTACCCTCCAGGCCCGTTCGAGAAACACTGGATATTAATAATTGATGTCGATACTTGAGCTTGAGGCATCACTCCTGCTCTCTCTTCTGAAGATGCGCCCGCCAATTCCCATCCGCTTGATCGACAGGCATAGGTTGTGGCGGCTAATACAAAACTGCTAAGGCCGGCCGTCATGCCGCCTGAGCGAGGTTGCAGCTCCATATTCCTGGCTAGCCGCATATCTGCCAGAACACTGTCCAACACAGGTGCCGTGTACCTTGCGGATAGGGCGCTAAACCTTGAGGTGGTTCGTCATCGTGGACGCCGACGAGGAACCCACGCTTCAGTACACCCCTCTTGCTGCCAGTAGATCAGATGGGTGGTCTCCGTTGTGACCATCCTGCCAACGCCAGCGTCTATTCCGTATGGCTAAAACTCAAGGCGGGATACCAGCCACTGACTTCTGTACCATCAACTTGAGAAGATCCGTCCAGCATCTGTCGTCGCCATTCAGCTTAATACAGGAAATGCGAAGTAGCTCGAAGAGAAGCAAGCCAGACACCTGGGGCATATGTGGAGGATGATATCTATGACTTCACAAACAGGGGATCGGAATCTCCCATTCTAGGGAGAGGGGGCCATTTCGCAACACAGGTTGTTCAAGTATCGCAGTTCTGTAGTAACTGCGCGGGGTATTGATGAAAGCCCAGTCCCACGAGCAAGCATCCAATCCTGGTATTCCCCAATAACAAGTTATATGGCTCGTCCTTTCATTGTCCGGAAGTATGTTTTGCGCCTGTGTACTTGAGATACTTGAAAAGCTTCCCGTTCAAGTCCGGCTCACTCGAACATGATGGGAGACGTCTTTCAATTGGAGTTGGGCTCCCATATCAGTTTCAGCTAATATTCTCGCTTACAAGGGCAAATGGTTCCTCCTCATGATCACCAACACCATCCTTCCCGTCTCTGCTGCCTTTTGAACGGCTCGAGTAAAGAAGAGGAACGGGCGAATTTAATTACTCGTAAAAGAAAAGAGTCGCAACTGCCACGAGAACGGCGTCAATGACCACGGGTTCTCTCTTGAGGACTACATGTAATAGCAGCTCCTCCCTCCCCGCACCGAAATCCCGGTCCAATTCAGATCTCGCCTCAAAAGGGAACCCAGGCGAGCAGTCAAACAAAACGATGAAGAAGCGAGATGGGACTGGCAGGGTGGTTGCCAACAATAGAAGCGTTGGGATATAGCCTAGGGTCACAGTACTACCTCATTCTCAATTTCTTTTCCTTCTCTTTGGTTCTTGCTGGGGTTCTCCAACTTTACTCAGGTGGGAGTGGCCCTTCGAGAATGTGAGGAACATCGGCTGGTAATACCCCCTAATACACCAGTGCCGCAAATCATCAACAACACCACTTTGCTTCGCAATGCATAAGATACGCGACGGCCTATCACGGCTAGTTCGATGGGCCACTTCCTGTGGCCTTGTTTTGGTGTCAATTTGGAGTCACTTGTTATTAACCCCGCGATGCTTCGATGCTTTGAAACTTGGATGGTCAGTGGCCGGGACGCGATCATGGGCCAGGCGGGCCAGTCTTGGAATATCCATTCGGTTCGAAATGTGTCGCATGCCATCCTTGTCCACGTTGACCTCCAAGTCCCTCCAGACTTGTTTCTCGCTATCGCACACGTGCAGCATCTTCTCGACAGCGAATGGCAAGATGACTAGAACATGGGATGTTTTGAGACCTTGTCGGCCAACGGCGCAAGAAGGAAAACACTGGCAAATCATCCTTCCGAAAAGTGCCCTCGAGAGATATATGTTCGAAGAGAGCTCACCACCCTCCCGGCCCAGTCAGTCGTGCACGATGTTGTTCACCACCGAATCTTCTCATTTACTGTTGTTTTTTCTTTTCTTTTCATACTTCTCTCGTTTTGTGGATCCTTCCTTGCATTGATCTAACTGTGGCATGCAATTTACTCAAACGACCATCTCCCTTGAGCCGACGAACATGATCCGCCCTTTGGGATTCCTCTTGTCTACTATTGTTCAGGCTGAGACTTCTTCCACTCTGCGCCACCTGCTTTCCCTGTTCGGATTCGGATACACACACATACATGTAATTGCTTTTCGTCCCTTTTCGCCCTCTTCCTTTCTTCTTCTCCCATTCCTTTTCCCCGTGCGTCGCGATAATAACAGCAGACTCGTGAACACGACGCGTCGCTGCATCTCAACGCGAAAAACAAAGTCCATGTGCCTTGCTTCAATTCTCCCACCTCCAGAGTCTGAGGGATCGACAAATCCGTACCCCGTACCCCAAGGGACCGATCCGATTAAAAAGCCAATCGTTGCTCGAGGAAAATTCCGGCCCTCTTATGAGGCCGATCAAAAGTAGATCCGCTCTTTTCCCCTCTTGCCTATCCTACGTTGAAACACTGGCAAAATCTCATTTGATGCCGAGAGAAAAGTTCAGATGACGAGGCTCGCTCGCTTCTCTTCCGGCCGGGTATCCCCTAATCTGCCGTCTGCTCTCTTGAATGTTCTCATGACTTTCACCCCAGCTGCTCTGTCTACCGTGCTCTCTTCTTTCCTACCCGAGATTTTTATTCTTATTCTAGGTTTTATCTTATTCAGCTCGGGGCCTGACTGCAATGGGCTACCTTTGATTTGGCTCATATCTGTGTTGTCGATTGTTCACTCATATTGGTTTTTCGCCTTCCTGGTCGAATGGCGTCGACATCTTCGATACTCTTTAACAAGCCGCCATGGATCCCCTGCCCAGGCCTGCAGCACAGACGGAGTGACATGAGCATGAACGCCGGAGATTGTTTTCCTGCACCACTGCAGGGATCTACGGCATACTGCAACAAAACTACATCCATCCATCCATCAATATGGTAGGATGCTGCCAACCACCAAATTCCCCGCCCACAGTCTCACAGACGCGACCCGAGTTTGGTGCTCAGCGACAGAGCCCTATTATTATTGTTTTTTATATAAATATAACATAATCTATGTGTGTTTGTTCTTGTTTCCTCCCCAGTGAGCAATGGACATATAAACACATATCCCCTGCAAGGATAAATCTTGGGGTGGAGGATTTTATGCTCGAAAAATCGCCCATGGTTCAGGATTCCAAGTGCTAGCATGAATGGGAGACATGGCAAACCCCGTCAATAGCTCGGTCTCAAGATCATCGAGACTTACCATGGTGATACCGTGCTCGTTCCAAACCGAATTCCACATACACTACAAGTAGACAGTTGCTCATGCTCGCTCTCATAACTCGTGTGCCATTCTGGGCGAGGTGGTGGACATGTCCAACCCAACCCATCGCCGCCCGTGCCGCATGAAGATGCTGTCCGAGAGGGGAATCCGGGCATACATGGAGCCTACGGAGCGGAAGATTCTTCGCGCTGGCGCTCATGCTCGTTCCCTCATCGGCCATCCTTTTGCCCAGGATAAGGGGATCATCCGTCCCGCTTTCACCAGGTGGCGCCCTGAAACTTTGAAAAAAGGGATTCCTGAGCCATATAAATGGGCTCCTCGTGCCAGGACGAAAGCAGCCCTTTGCGCGTCCCCGTCCGGCGCCGCGCCTTCCCCGCTGAGCGGGGAGCACGCTAGGAGGTTTCATGACCCTTGACGACTTGGAGCCGTCGGGGATTCCGATGGTCGATAGGCCCGCGCCCCACGTTCAAGCGTCGCGATGTATATATATATACCTTTGATAAGTGGATCGACGCGCTCACCTCTTCCTGCGCACGTTGCTGAGAGCCGCCAAGGCTTCCGTGCCCCCTCTTCACCGAGCTTTTTCTGCCCCGGGGTGATTACTGGGATTCATCCCAAGTCTCGTCACTAATCCCTGACCCGCGACCTCCCTCCCACTCCCCCAAGGTGTACAAAGTCTTAGCCGTTCTTTGCTCCCCTCTGAATCCTTTCGCGTAGCGAGCCACGGCCTTTTCCCGATAGGTTCCGTCTTGTAAGTGGGCCGGCCGCCTTCAACTCTTTGTAATCTCTTGCCTCTATACGCATATCCCCCTTTCCTTTGTCTGGGTAACAATGAACGGTTGTTCTCCCGTTGCTCGCCACCCCTCAGCGTTCTCCAAGGTAGTGGGGTAAGGTGATAAGGCGCGGTCTTATGCCGATAGCCTATACCTGGGCCCGTCACGTCACGTCGTCATTAGCACAAGGGGCCGTGCCAAGAGGAAAAGAACGGCCGCTCGAGATCGCGCGAAGGCGGAGTCTACGCGCATTCTCCTCAAAGTTTGTATATAATGATGTGGGTGTATATTATGGATTATCGGACCGAGTTGCAGCGATGCGAAGAAACCGCCCTAAAATCCCATGGTTTTCAGCTTCAATGCAGAAACTAGCACAACGGACATGGGAACTGCAGGCCCCCACTGCCCTACGTAACCGCACAGTACGGGCTTCTGCGTTGCCGGGCCCCCTTACGATCTCTGACCATCCATTCTGCTTCCTCCTTGACCGATACCTGCTATATGGTTGGGTCGGTAGAAAAGAAACCTAGTATAAAACGCCAGACGCAATGCGCTAAGTAAACACGCTACCCTATCTGGACTAGAAGAAAAAAAGAAAGGCGCATCCACCGCCGCATGACGGCGCATCATTCTGCTCATTAGAGCTTGATTGAAATGTTGTACGCGTCGAGCGCAACTGCTACTGCGCTTAGAACACCGGTGTAGGCCGCAAGGATACCCATGGTCTGGAGGGGCGTGGCATCAAAGTAGGGACGGTCATGTTAACGAGGCCGGTTAGTAAATTCGCTAGGAGGAAGACGGCGAGGCCGTTTCGGTTGAAGGCTCGGAGAATACGGCTGGTGGCGGTGGTATAAGCCTCGGCCTCGGCGCGGGCATCGGAGGCGTTGTGGAAGGCAGGGAAGAAGACGGTATCGATCAGACAGCAGACGAAGATCTGGGCCGAGTTGAAAGCGACGACCCAAAGAACATAAGGGAGGTTCGCGAGGCGGCGGGAGACGGCAAGGCCGAAGCCGAAGCTGTAGTCGGTGGCGAAGAAGTACATGGCGCACCAGATCAGGGACCAGACCGCCATGGTGAGCAGAAGGGTGGTACGCTGAGAAGACTTGGACGCGCCGCTGCGGGGTTGATGCTGCGGGGCAAGACGTACATCCCGGCGTCTTGGCCGGCGAGGAAGATGGCCAAGTAGCCGAAGAAGCTGCAGATGCCCTCCCGGTTCATGGAGATGAAGTCAGTGCGGGGCGCGGTCAAGACGAAGACCTTGAGCGAGGTGTTCTCCAGGGCCAGCTGATACGACGTGGACAAGAGGAGGGCGAGAGCGGCGTAAGAGGGGATGACTTTGAGGGCGGACTGGAAGAGGGCGACAAAGGGCGGGAGGAAGGCCAGGGTGAAGAAGAAATTCCAGTGAACACCGTACTCGGTGACATGTTCGGCATAGTCTAGGCCCTTGACGCTCAGCGTCCGAACAACACCTAGAACGAGAAGCGGGAGGGAGTGGCGCAAGGCCTGGGCGAGCCGGCGGCTTAGGGGCGTATCACGGCCGGCGATCCGCTCCTTGAGGACGGGGCGGGCGGCAACGACGCCGGCGGAGTAGACGAAGATCCGACGCCAAGGTCCATGAGGAGAGGTGCCCCACGTTTCAACCTTGGCAAACTTGCGAGGGAAGAGGCGGAAGTCTACGGCGAGGATGGCGGTGCAGGTCATGATCATCATGGAACCTCGGTAGGACGTGAGGAAAGGCTTGATCGAGAGCGCGCTGAGGGCGCCACCGGCACTCGTGTTTTGGGCTTTGGCGGTTGGCGGCACGAGGGCCTTCTTCTTCGGTGTCGAGGAGCTCGGGAGCGCCCATACGAGGAGGGCTGGGGCGATGAGTAGGATGCTGAGAAGTATGGGCTGGTTGCCGTAAACGGTCGTCGAGAGGATGATGGTGATGACATTGATGAGGTAGTCGACGAGGAAAGCGAGGGGCGTGTAGGGCTTGAAGAACGACTGGCGGGCTTGAAGTACAGACCAAAGAAAGATGGCAACCTAAGGGGTGGATTGAGATTAGCAAAACATCAGTACTGCGTACAAGAGCGTTCATCAGGCAATAGAAGTGTAGAAATGAGAGACGTTTTCAAGTGTACGAAGGGGGTGGCTTACCGGGCCCACGGCCGTCACGGCGGTGATTTCGCTGACGGGGCCTCCGGTGAGGCCGGACACGAAGTCCTCCTTCAACTTTTTGTATTCGCCTGCTAGGCCAGACATTGCGGTATCGGGACTGTGGCTCGTCCGCGTTTTATTATAGAACGATGTGATGTCGAGTGACTCGAGGCTTGGGGAGAGCGATCCTCCGGGCTTGGCCCTTTGCTCGTCGCGTCGAACTGGCGGGTCAACGAGGGTTGATTGGTAAAGGGTAGGCTTCGACCTCGGGGCGCGGTTGGCGTGTGTCTGACAGCGGGTGATGAGGCGGAGGGGATTCGCCAGAGAAGTCGCTTGATTTTTCTTGTTGCGTATTGTTAGCTCCGGGCGTCCCTCTTCTCCGTTTTTCGGCTTTGTCTTTTGAACAATCACAAAATGCAAACTGGGAGCTCCCACGTCGCGGGGAAAGGGAAAGTGCAGCTGTCCTTTCCGGGGAGCTTTCCTCAAATCTGACCAATCAGAGCCAGAAGATCTCCACGCCGCTCGTCAAGACAGGTACCTCGGTACTTTTCGACGACGACCAAGATTGAAGCCCGTTCTGTGTTCCCTTTCATATCTACACAATGCAGACTAAACTACTCCATTATAGGTGCAGATTAGCAGAAGGCAAGCAATTCACATACGCTCTCTATCCAAGTTCTCCTCCCCAAGAAGAAAAAAACGAAAGAGGAGGAGAAAGGAGATTCCAATCCGGCCACATGGCCGACAAGTCTAGACCATGGGTACCCTTAGGAATGGAGACTATCTCTGTCGTTTGCGCGCCGAGAGACTATTCTTTGTTCGTTTTTGCTCCCAATTTGGAGAGAACAAAGAGGAGAGGAATGATAGGGTCAAATAGTCCAAGCCATGATTCCAGGGATTTTGGGTAGTAATTTGCTTCAAGTTTCCTTGGAGGGAGTGTAAGCCCACACAAAACCAACTAAATAACCGCCGAAGGGTATTCAAGATGACCTCCTTGATCACTTTATTTACCTCGATCATCTCCTATAATTCACCCTTTATTTCCTCTCGTCCAATGTTTCCTCCTTGCCCAAGGATCTTCTCCCCGTAACTCCGTTGCTACCTCGAGCGTCCCCAATCGCGTGCTTCCAGAACCAAGAAGAGATCCATAGCCAACGCAAGTGAAGATGATGCTTGCCGAGCCGCTGGTCTCATTTGCGAGGTCCCCGCGTTTGCGACCAAAGCTGGAGCTCGGTTGGAGCAATGATTTCAGCTTCACAAAAGTTCGAGCCCAGCCATGCATCTCACCTGCCACCCCTTCGCCGAGGACGATGCTGTGGCCCATCGTTGACCGCATCGGCACTGATGCCGTTCCCGCGCCAATCGCGGAGACTCCTGTACCCTTTCCCCGCCCAATCAAGACCGAGGAAGGAGAAGATAATCGTGATCGTTGCTGGGACTATTATAGAGAAGCCCCGGTCGAAGAGTCTCGAAATCTCCAAGCCGCCGGACTGTATCCCGCCTTTATGAGTCCAACCGCGCCTCGAAAACGGTGCAGACCCTCCACCAGTCTCTCGCCGAGAAAGACCCCTAAGTTAGAGGCGCCAGGCCCCCTCCACCGGAACCACGCGACTCACCGTGGCGGACGACGACACCGCCAGAAGATAGGATCCGCTCCGTGCCCATCCCAAGCGCACCAGCCGACCCGGGATTCGTGCACCTCGGGCTCATCGAGCTCCGGAAACGCCTGCGGGATATGGGCCCGACCTACTTGCGCACCCATACCCTACCAGACATTTTCGTCAAAGGCGTTGCCCTCCGTAGAAACTCAGCCCTGGCATCCTCCGACCCTTCCCTCGCCTGGGAAGCGAAGCGAGAAGCAAGTGCGCCGATGGGAGATTTGCGCCGGGGGTTCGACGACGAGATCTTCGTCCAGGTCAGAGTTAGGCCCCGTGATGGGCGCAGGCCGTTCATGGTGCAGCGCAGGTTTAGCCTGGCAGATTTGCGTGCTACCATCCCGGTGTATGGCACGATGGGATGTTCCGAAATTCGGTTATCTTCGCGTCCCTCTTCCGCCGTCAACCTCACTGCTTCACCACTTCTTAGCTCCTCGGTAGGCGTAGCCACTGCCGCGCCGCGTGTGGGGCAGCGCCGCCAGCTCTCAATAGCAGGTGCCATGTGTGGGCCGCTTGCTCCCTCAAGGCATAGGACGGCGAGCACTGGCGTCGAAGTCAAACTCCCTCCCCGCAACTATAACAACGTGATGCCCATCCGTAAGCCCTAACCCCCCTCCTCCTCCCTCCCTACCTCTTCGTCTGGGTTTGACCCCCACTCACCCTATTCCCTTTCTTTGGTTTCTCCCCTCCCTCCTTCGCCCTCTCCCTATCGCCAAGTCCTTCTCCACATGGACGGTTACACACCTATACACATATACATGCACACACACACAGACACCCTCCTTATGAGGCAAAGTTTCTCCTAATTTCTATTGGCACAACGCCTGAGTTTCCCAACTATCCAAAAGGCTGCGTCGTAAATAGCTCTCCAAAGGCTGGCGCCTCCGGAAAGTAGGAAATTGAAGCATGAAGCCTATTTCACCCATCCGCACACGCACGCCTCTCTAAAAACCTTGCTTATTGGTCCCCCCCGCCTTCCCTCCTCATATTCTGTTTGGAGTGGAGGGGAAACTTATTTAGCAACTTAATAACTCTCTGATAGACCTCGAGTACGCTCGATCCTTTCTGCCGGTGCTTGCCGCGCTACTCCTCTCGGGTTACGTCCGCGAGGGCGACGTGGTCGACGTGCCGGTCCCGCACCCGGCCGCGTGGCGGCAGACGGTGACCCACGTCTACACGGGGATGGCGAGCTGACCTCGGCTGCCGCGGAGAATATTCGGTACCTGGGGGCGGGGCTTGGGCTTGAAGATGAGGGAGTTGGTTGTTTCGCTAATGGGATGCCAGATGATGCACCCAGCTCTTCGTCTGCGCGTTTTGTCCATTTTGTGGGGGCGCTCTCCATTCTCTCTGAGAGTGAAATTACAAGGAGGACAATGGGGCATTCTAGAAGAGTGGGAATGAACACGATCGACAGACAGCATCAAGTGGGGGGATGATAGAACGGCCCATCAAGTCGATTGATCCATTCCAATGGATCAATCTGGATTCATTGACGGATACTCTTGCTGGGTGCGGCCACCAGCTCGTGCTTGCTTGTTTCACAGGTGGAGTGCGTTAAGGTTCACCAAGCGCACCTCTTTTTTAGTTGTTTTCGCCAAAGGGCGATGGAGCCAGCCATTAGATCGATAGATCCATAGCCGAAGATAATTCTCAGGAAGCGAGCCGCTACTCTCCCGTTTATCTCTTCTCTCGTTCCTATCTTGGCCCGACTATCAATCAATACTTGTGTCTCAAAGCCCTTCCAGCTCCGAGCCTAGCTCAGAGTCATGACCAGGTCCGGCACTTGGGCCTTTGATTTTCCCTTGACTCGCCGTGCATAGATGGAGCTTCTCCTTTTTTTTTTTTTTTAGGTTCCTCGATTCTTATGCACACTGTTTTCTCTCCTCGCCTAGAAAGATAGAAAGAACTGATTACTCCTCCATGTACACTCTGACAGAGAAAGACGCATGGGCTGTGCGACCCTACCTCCAAAACACCCAACAGAACGCTCATGGGAGAATCATATGTTATCGGTGGCTGCTTTTGCCAGGGTCTCGATTGCGAGATCGCGCTTGTCTGATTCCGGCCATAGCTCCCAACTTTATCGTGTATTCTCTCAAACTGACTCGGCGGTGCCTCGGCGGGGACCTCGAGAAGTTTGATGCCCAAGAGAAACTGCCTCCAGAGCCAAAAGCCAAGAGCCAAGAGCCAAGAGCCAAGAGATGAGATATGAAGAGGGGTAAGAAACTCATGGCTGAGCTGGTTTTGCTGCTTCAAAGTAAGTCGTATATAGGCACCCAGGTTTGTATGACTACGACATGTACATATCCACGTAAAGCTCACACTTGGGGAAAAAAAGAAAAAAACAAAGGAAAAAGGAATCCCTCCACCCTACTTGAGGTCCATGTCCATGTCGCGTGCCAAAGCGGATAGGAACCGTGACCTTGATTGCATGCCTGACTGTGTGTCTGCACCTACCTATCTTTACCTTGGTGTTGTGACAAGGTTATCGTGGAGTGGCCTTTGGCATTTGCTGTGAGAAAGAATGTGGTAGATCCATTACAATGATGGTATGGGCTGAGGGTCTTTCAACTTTCCATTGAAGAAATGATATGTGGAATGCAAGGTCCTTCTTTACCAGAGCCGGCCAAAGAATTTCCATGCTCGGATGAGTAGGCGAGTGCGCCATGCCGCCCCAAGCTGAATATCGGCTGCAGTACCGTGACCCCGAAGAAAAAGGACGAATGGGTCGGGTCCATACATGGACTATTGGACCAGAAGAAAAGGAGTAGAGGACCCTCAGGATTGTCAAAGTCTATTGAAGAGTGTCCTGCACTTCCTCTACCTACCCATCCTGGCGTGAACTGCTTTTCGGTTACACCTACTGATATGCAGGGTTCTCCAGAAATGAGTCCGGAGAAATTATTCCAGGTACTCGCCCCCACAAGAAGGCATAGTTTGGCCAATGGCCATGGGTTTAAGCCAAAGAAGAAGGGAACAGCAATGTAGCTTGTCTTACGACAGCTGTCTGTGTCAAACCCATCAGGGCATGATTATCGATCACCTATTGAGCTTCTGATTGCGATTTCTAGCGGCTGTCAGGAATCGGTATGAGATCCCCCGCCGGGTACGGTACAGTTAAGGATGTCGACCATCACATGATGCCCCCTAGCCCTCTTGAGTGTGAGAAGAGGGTGGTGGCCATAAGGAAGGGCATCACTGCGGTCAAAGGGGAAACGAGAGTGTAGTGCCGATGAGAAAGTGGGGGTAGTTGAGGAGGCGTCAAAGTTTAAAAATGAAAAGATGATATGGTACATACATGTAGGATATGGCAACGGCGTGGGAACGAAGTCTATTCGAAGAGCGGAAGAGGGTGAAGAGGAGAAAGGGAAAAAGATGAATAAAACAAGGTTTGCCAATCCAATAGGTGCAGGGATGGGTAGACACCGAGACTTACATTTGAAGCCTGCACGAGGCATTCTTCAAGGTCACCTATGTTTTCCTTTCACCTATTCTGGGCGCTCTTTTCCGGCCGGTTATGGGAGAAAAAGCAAATGAACCACCTCGCTTTTCGCCCATAGGGAGTGATTGCCTTTCACGAACCCCGGCAAACACGCTGTTTCTGTTCTGTTCGAAGGAGCGACATCTGCGTCCATGCTTTTCAACTTGCATGTGGAGGCTGGGCATTCCTCGTCCTCCCAAGTGGCAGATATGAAACCCGCCAGAGACACCAGATAATTTCCGCGAGCAAGTGAGACTCCGCACAAAGGAACTTGACCTTCCCCTCCGAAAACTCCTTCCTCATCTCCGGGTGGAGGAAGAAACTCCTCCTCCCCTTCTCCCTTCTCGCCCTCCCCTCACCCGTCCACCCCCGCGGTTTTGAAGTTGCAAGGCTCCCCGGTGTCTTGTATGTCCACGCAAGCAGCCAGCGCAAGCAGCAGCGGTGCCAGCGGAGCAAGTCGTCGTCGTAGATCCACTCACTGTGCGATTCTTTTTGGTGACAGTGAAAACTAGGGCTCGTAGCGGCCAGCGCCGGCTGCTGTCGCCCGAAGCTGCCATTTGTACCCCTATCAGGAAAGAAAGAAAATCGCCAGCAATACCTCGCCCTTTTGCCTGCCTTGCCTCCCGTACACTTTAGCGTGGGCCGCCGGCTCGCTGATGGAACACGGAAACAAAGTGACAGGATTTCTTCTTTTTGCTTTTCTTCTTCTCTTTCTTTTCCGATCGGACCTGGTTGACGTGAATCCAAGCTGGTCTGTGTCCGCCATCTTGATCAGCTCATGGCGTGTAAAGGTGGTGCCCCGCAGCTGGAATGGATGGACCGAGTTTAGTAGCCGTGGGTGGAATTGATGCCATGGACGGCGTGCAAGTGTTTGTAACAAGAGAGTGGAGCGAACGAATCGCGTTCATCAGGGAGGAAAAGGGGAGGAATTCGGAAAAGGCACTCTCTGATGAACGGCGAAGCAAAAGAGGAAGGAGTGGGGAGCAAAAGCGTAACGAGAAGGCTCGAGGCAGACCGAGCCTCGCACCTCGCACCTCGCACCCTTCGAGTTTCCTTTCTCTCTCAGGGTACCACACCCCGATGCTTTCGTCTCTTTTGCCCCTTGCCTATGTCTTATAAAGTGCCCAGAACGTGCTGGGATGGGAGAAAAAAATTGTCGATAGCGGGTGTCCACCAAACCTCTTTGTTCCACCCTTTCCCCCTCCTGGGCTTTTCCCGAAGGCGAGGTCCCAGATCGGCCCTAGTGTGTCCGTTGATCGAGGCCATCGAAACTCAGATAATGCTCACCTGTTTGTTTGCTCACCCACGAACCACCCGCAAGCCACCGTATTCTGGGATACCTTTCTCTCGGGCCTAAGTGCGCCTCTTCCCAAGCCACTTTTGTGTTGCCACTTATTCTGACAATCCACCTAGGGCCATCGGGTGAAGGTAGGTTGCCTATTCTCGGTTTGTTTTAATAAACCCCGATGCCGTTCTCTCCCCTTCCCCAACCCCAGTACCCAATTTCTTCTTCCTCTCGCCCTGGCTGGCATTACCTTTTGAGATATCACCCCTCCAAACCCTTCATATCAGATCGCCCGCCTGAAGCTTCCTCATCGTGGAAGAGATCCATTGTCTATCTATTCCTGTTAGCCAGACTTGGTCATCAACACGGGAGAGGACGAGGAAGACGCAGCAAGACGGAGAGGCGCAGGCAGCTTTCTCCAGCTTTTCCATGACGCATCTCACATATATTACCTCGCCAACGAAACTGTGGCTATCGCTCTTGTCCCGGCAATAACCCCTCCGGACAATCCCATGACCCAACACCAAACCCCGCCGCGCCTCCACCGCCGGTACCCTTCCTATCACCAACCCCTCGTCTACCGCCCGCCCATGTGCCGACGCCGGGCAACCACGGCCCCCGGTCCACCCCGATGTGCTTCAGCCGCCTGCCCCCGGTTCCCATCACCCACACAAACTCATCCGCTTCGGTCTCCTCCACGGATGGCGTTCAGCGCCCTGCCGGTCCCCTCGTATGGATCAACGGCTTTCCGGGGTTGGCAAGCTTACGATAGCGCAATGGCTCCATCGCCTTTGGGGGTTGACCGCTCCTCATCCTCGACCACCACGATAACCTCTGCGTCCCGGGCCGAACGATGTTACCGCCTACACCGGAGGTTGAGATAGCCGACCCATTTGCCACCGCTTGGTGCTCCGATCCGTCTCCGTGCCGGCAAAAGAACAACGGCGAACACTCTTTCCCAACGCCGCTCGTGGCCGACCTCCTATCCCGTCCCGAGAACAGGGCCCAAACCATCCTCATCACGAGCTGTGCGGTGGAGAATGCCTCTTCGGCCGGGTCCTGCACCCGCTCATCTGACGAGGAGGAGGTGGCGGCTGCCAAGGCCGTTGAGGTTACGGCGGCCATGACTGACCGACTCTTTATCCCAATCTACATCTTGTGCAGAGAAGATGAGAACATGCGGCGGGTGCAGAGCGTGGAGAGGCGGTACAGCGGCTCCGGGCTCGGGATGGGCTTCAGTGGACGAAGCCCCAAAGTAGAAAGCGCGGGCGCCGCCAAGGAGTTGACGCGCGGGAGGAGGCTCTTTGCTTTCGAGGGGAAGAAGGGATTAGAGGTCGACGTGAGCGACATGGAGGCTCACGAGGCCGCCGTGGAGATTTTGGGGTTCATCCACACAAGGATGGAGGAGTGGAGAAGGGAAGCGGCGGCGGAAGCTCGCTAAGCGGCGCCACCTGAACCCTCCGTCTGCGGCGGAAGCACGTCGGCCTTGATGGCTCAGACGGCCGCGATACCCGAGAGTTCAGTTTCCAGAGTCTTTGGTGAGAGGGGATGGTTTAACCCCCAAAATTCTTGATGATTTCATACATGGTCCAAATACCCCTTATAGATAGGTTATTAAAACGGGAATTAGCAACGGGGTTGCTCTTCTTGCTCCAGGTTTAGCCAGGCGTGGAGATACATAGTAGAAAAATTCTTAAAAACAATTATCAATTCCCACAATCAAGTCCAAAGAACCCTGGGCGTCGCATCACATAATGGCCTTGCATCACCGCCTCCTCTGGCACTACAGGTGGAGGGTGCCCCCCGACATCATCACTCGACTCCATGGAAAAATACCAATTTATGAGGAGGCCTCAAGGACACGCACAACATTCTGCATCTGACGTGCCCATCGCACATCACACCCCTCCCTTATGCTCTCCCTCCCTCCTTCAACTTCTTTTCCATCAACGCCCCCCTTTCCATCTTCATCCTCGAACCTCCAAACACCCTGAGCCCTAGTATATGCAGCTTTCGTTTCGTTTCTTTGGACACTGCCATGCCGGCCTAACAAAAACCCACTTTTCGTCGTTTCTCCGTCATATCTTTGTCTCTCTGGCCTGACTTTTGCCCGCCCGCCCGCCATCATCCGCCCTTGCCCGCCATCTCTGCTCATGCAATCCTACCCCGGAACACCTTCCCCGGTGGATTAGAGTGGGATCGATCGGCGCGCCTTTCCCACGGCAAGGCGAAGGGGATGGGAGGAAGATGGGGGAGTGGGCAGGAGGGCGTGTGGGCAATAGATGCGAGGGCTGTTATGGGGCAAATGAGAGGGAGAAATGACACGGCGAGAGGGAGCGGAGAGGGAAAGAGGGAGAGGGAGAGGGAGAGCAAGAGAAAGGAAGAGAGACGGAGAGAGAGATCCAAAGAGCAGAGGGTGAGCAGTGAGGAGAGGAAAGAGGGGTGGAAAGATCCGTGGATGGCCTCTCAGTAAGGCGACATTAAACTGAGATTTGGGCGCATATATAACTAACTAGAAAGGGTCTGCAAGAGGAGGGCTCTCCCACCCTATCCACGACGCACCCTGCAACCTGCACATGGGCGTGCCTCTCTTGGATTCGCCAAGGAACGTGGGGATAGGAGGAGAAAGCTTTTAGTCTCCTCCCGTTTTGGGAGCTCCTCTCCTGGCTCCGTGGGATATCGGAACCCAACTGGACGTCCCCGCGGATAGCCAAATGGGCTGTGAGGAGGGGCATGGGTTTGTTGATGTCATCTAAACTTGCTCGGGGAAAAGACGCAGTGTTGCAGCAGGCTCCCAAACGGCGACGAGCAAGGGCACCCGCTTACGCACCTATCATCGTTGATAGGTGAGGCACTCATTTCTCGCGCCGTTGATGCGTTCCCTTGCTTGACGCATGCACAACGTGGATCTTCTCAACCTCTGGTTTCTTTTTTTTTCTTTTTTTTCTTCGCTTTCTCCAAATGCCCCCTCTTTTCCCTGTTCAGGCGCTTCCAAGTTTCCACTTGCTCTTTCTTTTTTTCCGTTAATAATGAAAAACAAACATATTAATCTTCATCTCCCCTCCCCCAATAAATTTCAGAAAAACATAACCACCCCGCTACTGCACCGGACACAATCCGCGGATGGGGAATCCCGCGGCTGCAGATGCAAGAGGCCCGACACCTTTGAGTTCAATGTTCCTGATTACGACCTAGACCCCACGCCCTGCCATTTCCTCGCGTCTCCATTCTCAGTGCCGCAGAGAGCCAGCAAACAATCGAGGCGTGGGGTTGACTGAGAAAGACGATGTTTACTGAACCTCGACGATGCGAAGAGATGTCTGAAGGGCGGTCGGGTGGGGCCTGGTGTTGCGTTAGAGGCCAAGCTCGCGCAGCGCATCCTGGGGGAGGGGGCAGCCGGAGGTAAGTGAAGTCCTGAAAGGCATGATGCTCCGGGTGCCCTGCTCCCGGCCAGATACTGCACGGAATCCAAAACAAAAGCCGGGTATGTTTTGCGTCATCTTGGCCTCTTCACTCCTCACTCTTCCCCGCCTGAGGAGGCTTTGCATCGACGTAACCTCGATGATGGTAGTGGCGAGGCGCGGCGGCGTGGGAAGCATAGAAAGAACCATGGTGGATGGCGAGCGGATGCCTTCACCCTCCATCCATCATGATCTGCTTCACGCACTTTGAAACTTGGCCCACGTCGCGTTTCCAGCCCGACGAGCATCCGCGACTCACTTGGGTTCTTCCCTCTGCCTATTTCCCACCTACCATCCGTTTGCTTTGCGAGAAATATGTGCGTAGTGCATGCGTGAGCTAGATGTGTGTGGGTTGGGCTTAAACGTATGACTCTGTCTGCCCGTCTGCCTGTGGGTTTGTGTCCGTCAAAGTCCCCTGCCTGCTCCTGCTCCTCGTGTTCGCAGCATATAGTAAGAGGGTCCTGTGGGCTTCGTCGCCAAGGTTACTATCGCGCCGGGCCTTTGATGTCTTGGAAAGAAAGCCTCTCACGCTCATATTCCAGCTTACAGCTTACACTCGCGAGACGAGTGTGAACTAGGGGACCCCCTTCTCCAAGCGAGTGCCTAAAACAAGAAATGGGAGGTTAAGAAAAGGAAAAAAAAAAAAAGGCAAAGAGCTGAACAGCAGTCGACTGCCTGCCCACTTTGTGCTCCGCCTCGCTTCTCGTACCGGCCAAGGGTCGTGTCTGTTACCCTCCCTTGTTACCCTCCATAACCCGTCACATTGACCTTTGCCCTCTGGGGTTCTTTCTATTGCCCCATCTTCGCACGCGAGCGAGGAGCCTCGTGGACACTCCCCTCCTTCACTTCGCTTCGGAAGGGTAAACTGATCATGCAAAAGTCTCGCTTTAGATCGACTCACCATCTAGATCTCCCCACTTTCTTGATCACACCCCCTTTGGCCCTCATCCTCTGGCCCAGGAGAACGGTTCCGCCGAGATTGCTCCCACTCACACTCTTCTGGACTTTTGGGGCCGGAAAGAAATCTTGAAGGAAGGCAGGCAGGAGGGTGTATGCTTTGGATGCACACTCCGGAAGGGCGAGGAAGCGAATGGAAGGAAGAAGGGAAGAAAGAGATTGGGGAAGGTAGGTTGATACACCACGCGCCAAGGCTCTTGTATGGAAGTGGACATCTCCCTCCTGTCTAGGAGCGAGGAGAGCATAAAGAAGGGGTACTTTGACGGATGCTGCGTCTTCCTTCGCCCCATCATCGCTTCGGCGCCCGTCGCCTCTTAGGCGAAAGAAAGACCTGTGGCATTCTATTTTTCCCACACATAGATCCCCAAACGCGCCTCTCTTCATCTCGGACATGCGCGATTGACCCGCCTTCCACAATAGGCGTCGGAGGATAGTACTTGTATGGCATGTCACATCCAACCGTACATTGACACGGGCATCTGCGCATCCGTGTTTCCCTTGATATCGGTCACTCAAATGAGGCCCTTAACAGACTCCGAACCGTGCAGAGAAGAGTAAACTCCGAGACTGGACATCTGAGCTTTCGGGCTCCTTCTCAGTACCGAGAATCACTTGTGCTGAGTGCCCTCTATCACTATTTTCACTCTTATAGTCAACCTTGGATCGATCCCCATATATATTTTCCTCCTCACGTACAAAAGGTTCAGAGTGAGAAAGTCGCCAGTAGTGCATTAGGGAAGCATGGAAATGTGTCAGATCACTCTGGCGCGCTAGGACTACACATATACGGCTCGCACATCCAGCAGCGTCGTTGTGTTCGGACGGGACAGGGCAAGGGGTGGAAGATGATTTTGTGAGCCGGCGAGGAACTGCGGCAAGGGTTGCCAGCCCGCATGTGGGCGTAGAGCCAAGCGAGGCCCCTTCCCAACTAATCCTGTGGCAAGGGCTTTCCGCTCACCAGACTACGAAGCGAGAGTCACTGTCGCTTGGGTGGCGCAAGAATGAGCTGGCAGTCCGTTTTTGGCGCCTGTGTTCCATATTCTACCCTACTTTACTAGGGCTAACACGCTATTTTGCCCGGGTTCAATATTAGAGGGATGCATAGATATTGATTATATGGATAGATGTTTTGGAATATTGATTGGGCTGCGTATATATATATTCCTACATGAGCGCGGGATACATATGGACCTTTGAACGTGACGAAAAACCCAAGGTGAGGTGTGTACCCAAAAAGAGTCGTCAATAATAAAAACGAGGACGATCACCTTGGCCTGCGGGCCCAGTCCCAAATTTCTTCCATCTGTGGAAGAGATTGAATGATCAACCCTAGCGAGGACTGCAAAGGAAGGACGGAAAGCGATGTTTGGTAAGAGATGTTGAAACCCAAGGGAGAGTGAAGTGAGTGACTGCTCCTCGCCTTGCGCTTCGGCCTCAGCACTTGGAGCTGGCTGGTGGTTCGAGCTGGTGGCGAAACAAGAACCAACGGCGTCCAATTGATGCTCCTCGTTTGCTTTTGCACCCCCTTCCTCTTCTTTCTTCCCTTCTTCTCTTTAGTATTACTTTTCCTTTTGGAGCCCTGTTTCTTTACTCATTACTCCTGGGAACCTACTTGCTTGTTGGAGAGGTTTGACTGCTGGCCTTCCCCGGGAGCAAAGTCCGTCTGTCCCCGCTTCAACTGTCTGTGCTTTCCCGTTGGAAGAACCGGGGTGAAGATGGGGAAAGGAGGGGAGGGAGCTTCTGCTCCCATGGGCCTCTTGCGATTGGCGTGGCTCTTTCCCCGCTGCCGGAGCTTCCTATCTCGCTGGTGGTCAAGTTGTTGCTAAGACAAACGTTTAGCCTTCGGAGGCATCAGCTGCACGACAGCCCCTCCTCGTCAATGCTGAGAGGGGCCAGATTCGAACAAGTTTCCACGATAGGGATTACCATTTGGGGGAGGGGGAACGATAAATAGGCACGGGTTATTTCGGACATGGGAGCATATGATGTGACTCCAGCAAGCCTAGGCCAGGTTTGAAGCAGGCGAGATTGAGGCAGGCTAGCTAATGAGACCCTAAGAAAAGCGACACACCCTCACTCCTCTCCTTCGCCCCGCTATTGACAGAGGAGAATGGTGCGCATAATACCATCAACTCGCAAGGGACGGTGGTATCGAGAAAGTGGTGCGGTAGATGATTTAAAGCCATTGTATCGAAAAGGGTCCTGGCCCAGTATCGACCAGATCTTGGTAGAGTTAGCGCCGTTCTTGGCCTAGGACTAGTTCGAGCCTGCTATTAAAGACAGGGACTCGAGTCTTCGGACAAAAGCTTTAAAAGAAAAATAGAAAGAGCAGGGTAAGGTATTGGCAAAGTACTGCCTGAGTACCCGGCCTTCATTGCTTCTCAGTTTTCTCCTCCGTTTTTTTGTCGTATCCTCTTGAGCTGCGCACTAGCTAGCTGGACGGTTCTGTCTTCAGTTACCAGGTCACGAAGCTCCCCACACACACCCTAAACCTAGGAGACACTCCTACTCCCACACGCGTTGTAATAGCACACCTCCACACACACACACACACACACACACCCCCATACACTTGACGCACACACTTGACGCACACGCACACATACACACACGCACAAATCCACTTGTGGGTGATTCTCATCCAACCTTTCCGCGGGAAATTCTTCCATAGAAAGGAAAACCAAGATGCTTGAATCAACTCCCCGGTTTAACATTGTGAAGAGGGACGGCGGAGGAGGAGGGGGAGGGGGAGGGCTTATTTCACCCTGGGGACTCTTGAGAGAGGGGGAAAGGAAGGCGCAGACCTTTAGCAGGCTTGCACTCTAGTGCTAGATGCCTCTGTCTTTTGTCTCTCGCTGACGGTCGAGGCGGCAAAACCCGGTTTTAAGGTCCAAAGCTATGGCCAGGGGTGGCACCTGTCCACATGCTCGTGGTGGTACGAACAGCCTGCCGGATTGTCCCTAGCACATAGATCTGGCGAGACGTCAGCTGCATCTCGCTCACCCCGTTGATAGCATCAAGGCGTCCATGTCTGAGGCAACAGGTAGCTTTCCAAAATTTTAGCGCTAGCTAGATACAGGGGTGGCCCGCTTCATGTACGCCAAACCTGCCTCGATGCGCCGAGCGTCCCTTCTTTCAGATGCATGAGAAGCCTCACCAGTTCAAGGAGCCTTTGGCATAGAGGTAAGGAAGGGGAACGGACAGTACCCAGCCGAATCTCCCAGCCAGGGGGAATGCCGCCGAGGACAATGCAGATGAATTCAATGGCCCCTTCTGGCCTGGCGAAGATGTATATCTAGGGTGCTCCTCCATGAGTAGAATTCTCGGCGATCTTTGATGATGCAAGCTGCGCGGGGATTCACTCGTGTATGGGAGATATCATATCGGATGAAGTGGCGTGGTTGAACACCCTTTCTTCGGGCGCCGAGTCCCGTCCTATGAGGTGCTTTATCTCTTGCAGAGCACTTTTTTCTTCTTCTTTTTCTTCTTTTTGTCTCGCTTTCTGGTTGCCCCCTTTCCAAATATGTCCCACCCTCTCCAGCTCTTGCAGAAAATGAGAAACGACGAGCAGCGTGTGTCTAGACTTGGGCCTTCTGGACCCTAATCGACCTTGGCTTGTCTTTGAGACGGGAGAAACGTCGACCTCGCTTTGAGCTCACGCGAGGCCTCGTCCGGGACCGAGGGAAGGCTCCTGGTTCGATGGATTGTTACGTGAAATGTGCCACAATGCCTGCCGCTTATGCACCGCACCATCCACCCCTCTCTGAGAGAGTAGTGTGGGAGGGCTACCACCAGGTTCGGATCTCGATTTTATGCGGGATTTCGAAAACACAGGCCCCGACTGCTAATTGTAGGCTGCGAGAGCTTGCGGGGGAAGGGCTCAGGAGGGGGAAAAGCGTGGTTCTTCTGTCCTCTTTGCATGTTATCTCTTGAGCGATCCCCTTGGTGTGGCCTTTGCAGGCATCACTCTCCCATGCCCTGTTCTCTGGTAAGCAAACGATCCTTATCCCACGTTCGATAATAGGCTACTCGCTTTTGGACAAGGTGGGGTCCGAGAAGAGAGGAGGGGACTTTGCTGGATTTGATCTGTGGGCTAGCCATGGTCTCTCGAACCGAGCGTTCCAGGCTCCTTCCCCGCCCCGCTATGTTCCGATACCACAAGCTAATACCTCAATGCTGTTCCCACCAGGCCA